CCGACCGTTCCGGCACTATGGCACAGGACAAGACGAAGGAAGTTGTGAGAGTGATCGACGCACCAATCGCCGACATTTGGGCAATAATTGCAGCCTTTGGTTCTGAGAGGCTTTGGTTTCCCAACGTGATCAAGTCCAGTCTTGAGGGATTCGGTATTGGATCAGTTCGCACAATGACTTTCAACAACGGTCATGTGGTTCATGAGCGATTGGAGATAGCCGATCCTGAGACACACACCATCGCCTACCTAATTCTTGACGGCGTCCCAAACACGACGAACCCCCGCGGAACGCTGCGATTGACAGCCATCAGCGAGGACAAAACACAAATCAGTTGGTCGGGCGCATCTGAATGGACAGAGCCAAGCTTCAAGCCGGTTCTTGCCGAAATGTTGGAGGAGATGTTCAACGGGTGCATGGATGCTATTGAGTCGATTCTTAGGTAGCTCGGAGGAAAGCCGTGCATGATTTAATTATTAAACACCTATGAGTACATTAAAATATAAGGGTTCTAGGCGAATGAGCGTTCTGGACTGAAAAAGTAGAGAGGCACGGTATTGAAGGGTACTCCTCCAATAAATTACTATTGTGCCCACTGCCCATTGTCCGTTTAATACCTTCGGTTTAACGATGCCTGGCGTCCGATGCAACATTCCTTACGTCGAAATGTGGATTGTTGACAAATGAACCAAGTTCTTTACTTGTCGACGGGGGTTTCGATGGCTAATTGTTCGATTGGCCTAGTCTTTGCGCCCGCCCTTTTTGCCCTTCTTGCACGGACTTTCGTCCACGGGATCTGCGACTGAACCCAAGTTTAGCGACTTTCATGTCTCACTTGGCATTGCTTGTTATAAGAACATCGTTTCCAAACTTCGAAAGCTTAGCACCTTCGTTGGTCAAGTTTTTGACTTGCTAATAGTTCCCACTGAAACAACAAGAAAATATGTTCAATTGCGAAGATCGTCTAGTGAATCTAGTTCGTACCTTGACCACTCTCGATAATCTTCTTGAGGCTCTCATATGCATTCTCCAACAAGTTCATTTCACCAGGGCTGTTCTGGGTATAGCGGGCGTTGTACTTCATGATGCTCTTCGTCTTCAGGTAGGTCGCAATGTCGAGGGGAATCGGGCTTCCAACAACGTTCCACGCAATCGACTCGGTACAAGGAGGGGTTGTAAGAGAGCCTGTGTATCTTTGGTACAAGTTAGATTGAAGCTCAGGGAGGGCTATAAGGGTCGGTGGATTGAACATACTGGTAGATGGTGTTCTTTGAGATATGCTCAGCGAGGCTGGTAAAGTCCAGAGGCCCAGTTGCAGCGTGGGATCCGAACTCGGTGACCTTGTCGACGTTCTTGAAGACGGCAGCCAGAAGAGGGTCTGAAGTTTCAGCGACCTCAATGGGGAAGCCAACAACAGCGAGAGAGGAGCCTGGATGACGATTAGCCATGTCCGACAGGATCGCGAGGAGTCAAAGTTAGCAAGCACATACCGTTTCCAATCTCGGCTTCCCAAACAAAGTGAACCTCGAGGGGGAAGTGTTCGCCGTTGATACGGTGCTCGCTAGGGGTGTGGAAGTGGAATTGACGCAAGTTGTAGGTCTTGCCACCATTCTTCATGGTGCCGTTTGCGCGGACCTCGAGGAATCCAGAGAGATTCTCGAGTTCGCCCCCCTCAGGGTGCTGGTCCGGGCTGAAGGTGATAGTAGAGCCTTGAACCTGCTTGGTGTTTGACTCTTGAACGTTGATGGGAGACTGGCTTCTGCCAAGAGCACAGGCAGAGTTATTGGAGCTGATGGAGTGCCAATTGAGAGGGCCATTCAGACCATCGAATCCGAACGTACCATCAGCTCTTTTGAAAAGTTGATCCTTCTTGAAAAGGCTAGTTCCATGGTGGCAGAAGGCGGCGACTGCAGGCATGAGGGAGAGTAGAGTGGCAGACTTCATGGTGAGAATAGAGATTGTGCAGGACGAGCGATCGTAAGGCAGAGTATGATAAAAGAGTGACTGGTTCTCGATGAGAATGAGATGAGATGTGAGTGACTCTTTGAAACATCAGATTAGACAGCGGCAGATCTAAAGGTAAATATACGCCAGTACTGCAGAGTGGTAGTTAATCGTAAGGAGCGGGAAGCTATGACAATGAGATGCGATATTAAATTTCATGGAGCCATGATGGCACCAATCTGCGTAGAAAGCAACGTCTTGGCAGGTTTACCTGGTCAAGACGCAAGAAATCCAAGCCCCTTTGAGGATTTGGCAGGCTTCTGCCAGCTATCTGCTTGAGGATGGAAGGGGCGGACCTCTTTGCGAACACGTGCTTGGCAATGATCAATCGCGGACGGAACCAGGGGGGATACTGGCAGGGATAAGAGTCAGGACATGGGAAACACATCACGAGAACGGAAGGGGGGCCTCTCCACGTCCAGATGAAGCCAGGTCCAAGAGAAGCACCGCGAACGCTGCCGCGAAGACCACTGGAGAAGGACGCCGAAAGATTGCCCGGTATAGGTTGTCATCAAAAAGTCAAACTGGCGAGCGCTTGGCGCAGGGCGTCGTAATGCCAGTGGAGGTAGCACGGCGTTATCCCGCGTGAACACCACATCCCGCGATATTGAGCAGACATGTTAGTCTTGGCCAAATGGTAGATGGTGAAGGTTAGCCAAGAAAAAGAGTGATGAGAGGACCCTCCAAGGGCTCCAACTCAACAATGCTAGAGACTCAGCTTTGGCGTCGAATACAGAACGTCGAGGAAGCCCATTCGGCGCCGACGCATGTCCGTGAGCGGCTGACTCGCCTTACCGGTGGCCACATCTTCATTAACCTCTGTCAGCCGTGTTCAAGAATAGCCGCCGCTCGCTGGGGTAGGCTCAGGCAAGTGTTCCTTAGTGATGAAATCGTCCGAACTCGCTGTAGCGGACTTGCGAACACCGCACATGGCAGAGAAGGAGTAGGGCGGAGAAGATGGGACTGGAATTCGGAAGATGTGACGAGCACGAGCAGCTGCCAGCCCGTGACAGTGGTGGGGTTACTAATTAGGACCGTCGGTGATGCGACGATGCTGACGCCAAGGTTTAGGGGGCAGGGTTACGGGTTTCCAAAGCGCGCGCCTTACTCGGTGCGGTAAATGTAGAGAGGCCCATCGTGAGTTGAGGTGAGGGCTAAGCGGTCGGCGTAGACGCATGTAAACTGAGCTCTGCCTGGTTGATGCTGGTCAAGATAAAGTTTAGGGCCCAGAGCAACTATGCGCCTGGGTCATTGTGGCTCTTTTGATTGGAGCCTACGCCGCAAGAGATGAACCCGCAGGTCGGTCTATGGCGAGCCAAGAGTCTCCAAGACTGAAGGGGGAGGGGTTCGCTCGTGGACGTGCCCAGAATGCATTTTTGACACACAGCCACGTTGCCTTGCGACTTTACTCTTGTGTACTGTGTAGGCAGTTTTGGATGGACATTGCACCACGCCCTACGGATAGACTATAGCATTTTGGGCCTTAGCATACCGGTGTCCTGGTTCGGCAAACGTAGGCGAAGACTGAAACTCGCTTTGCCCGCCATGTGTACAGCATAGTTATCCGTACGGAGAACCTGCGGTCCTGTGCTTGAGCCTGGAGCGCAAGACCATGATGTTGACTGTTGCCAAGGCCATCGCAACCCATCTTGGTCCATCTTAACAGCCACGAATGGTCTGTCTTGGCAATTGAATAGCTGCAGCGTTTTCTCGATGGCCCAGGAAAAGTCCAAGACTTGTCCAAGACCTCCCAAGACCTCCCAAGACCCGGGGACATAATCGACATTCTTCATCGGGCATGGCGGCGCCGTTTCTCCGTGGGTTGGAGCGGGCGTACCGACACCTTGGAACAGGAACCGGGTGGCACATCTGAGCACTGACATGCGCCAGCGGCTTGTGTCTCACTCTTGTATAGCGCCTGGGGGCCGCCTGGGATTCTCGTATCCGCTCATTGGTTCGTTGTTGGATCCTCGTCTTCCCCTGATGCTTGCGGATACCTTCACAAGAGACGAAACTCACTGCTTGCGGCTGTGTATACCTACGTGGTAGGGACTATGTGAAGCAGAATAAACCAAATTGATCAAGAAGATCTCGCTGGCTCCTGATGCGCACGGCTTATCTCTCAGATCAGAAGAAAGAAGAGCAAGCGATCCTTGGGATGGGAAGAAACTTTCATCTACTCCGTCATCAGCCAAGGCTTGCGAAGACCAATATGCAAATGCTTTAGCTAAGTAAAGTAGGTACGCTCCATCTCAAATCTAGGAATACTTGACAATGGCTTCACAGACTCGGACTTACTTTCAGCTTGCACTCATTACAACACTCGATTAGTCTCATCCTCGTTCATCCCATCAATCCATCAACAGCTCTCTCGCTGTTTACGGTACATACAGTCCCAGAATTCCAGAATCCAAAGTCCAAAGAATAGCCTGCCCAGTGCAGCTTGCCGAGATCCCTAGCGTGCAATAACGTTTTTGTCTTGGCACACTAAATTCAGGACTGCGGCACTGCGACAGATGAGGGCCGCCGCGTAATTGGCTGCATTGATCGGCCTTGACTCCAAGGTTTCCGTGCAGGACTCCAGGCGGACCAGGCCCCAAGACCAGGGTACAGCGGGCGGGTGGACCTTCTGAAATCTAGAATTCTGGAGAGAAAAATATCATTCCAATTTTTAATCTCCTCCCACATCTAGGCTTGGCGCGGCGGGCTTCTTCCACTTGGAGAAAGGTCAGGAGGGCAATCATAATCCAGAAACACCTCAAGGCTTCTCAACAGTCATTCACGTTATCCAAAGAGAACAACACAGCTCAGCGGGTTGCAGACTTTGACTAGCCCAGTCCGCCAAGCCCGAATCCTCTCTCACCAGACCCTTTCAACTTCAACAACACAACACATCAGACCTGACCTGACCTTGGCAAAACTCTCACACTCACACAAACGGATACGGATATACGCACTCACACACACTCACATACATATTTCCGCCCTCATTATCCATGTCGCTCTCCCTGTCTCCTCTGCTCGACGCGCTACCGACGGACTTTGTACCCGAGTCAAGCGGACTTATCCACCCCCGCCCAACTGTCACTGCCTCGTCTGCGTCGTCCATCTGGAGAGATCTCCCCGAGGCTGTATTTCGCCAACATGTCATTACGTTGGAGAAGCTGACCAATGCTGTTCCTGTTGACGCCAAATCTTTCCCGCTCCCATCCCAATGGACAACTTCTTCAGATGGGTCTGCGGAATCTCGTGCTAAAGTGCTTGCAGATGGTTCTGCAGAGACCATTGTGACGGATGCCCACTACCGAGAGTCCGCAGAGCAACTCAAACATCCCCGTCCCCGCCTGTTGACAATTTCCACGGAGCAGCGTCTGGCAGATGATATTGCCTACCTTGTCGCCGTTGGAGAAGGAGCACAGTCCGTTGCTGCTGCCACTGTCCAGGAAGGTCGAATAAAAGTCGGCATGGCAACTGAAGGCCCCGATGGAGGCCCCAATCAAGATCAACAAGCACTCCCAGCAGCAAGCCTCAAGGTCACCATCGCCTCCGCAGATGCGATCGAGCCCAACTCCCAGGCTTTCCTATGCTCTGTTTTCCAAATACTCTCTGCCCCGCCGCCTGCCAAGCCCTTACATAGCCTCTTGGACCTGGTCATCCGGCATCATCAAGCTCGCCTTCTCAACCGCCTTCGATCCGCCAAATGGAAGAAGCCAACCTATCTCTCCCGTACTCACAAGAAACCCCTGTATGCCGACTTCGCCAACCTCATCCACCGTTCACAATTCCTTTACTCCAAAAGAGAATCAACCACGCGGGCTAGGCTAGAGCGCGAACTCTCGGAGATGGCCGCCCTGCTAGAAGCTTTTGAGACGGAATCAGACGACCACGAGAAGCTGGTCGAAATCACTCAGTCTAGCTACCAGCTTTGCGCGTCGCCCCTTATCGCAAATTACCTAGAACGCTTACAAGCCATAAGGGCAACAGCGCAAATCCAGGCTTGTCTCAAAACTCTGCGTCAGCTTGAAAAGATCGCAGCCTACTATCGCATATGTCAAACTCTGACTAGTTTGTCCCACACACATCCAATGATCTTCCACAGCGCTGAGCTCGTTTTCTTGCCTCCTTACGAGGCAGTGCCTCTAACTCTCGCCTACCAGCCGTGGGCAAAATCTACCCACGTGCATGCAGAAGTCATTCTGTCTGTACATCATGACTTGGAGAAATCTGACAGCCCTTGGCACAAGCCAAGATGTCTAGGCGCCTCCAAGTACTTTTGCTATCTCTGCTTCTTGTTCATCCGACATCATGGGACCTATTTTGCGGCCAACACGCACGGGGCTTGCTACGACCAATGGACCATCCCAGACCTTGCTGACTATCCTCAGCCACTCGCAGACCACTACAGGAAAGTTGTGCGAGCGATGGATGAGGAAATTCAACTTCAAACGCATGGCGCGACGTGGAGACCGGAGCCGATGACGAGCCGAGAGAACTTGATAGGACTAATCGACGGATAGATTTGATTACATGAGTTCTGCCCGGGCTTAATCTGATCCAAAGTGTTCCAGGTCAGACTTTTGCCCAGACTAGTCCCACTACGCGTGTTTACAAGTCATGACTCTGCCATTTACGTCGATTGTTTCGATGACACAGCGCCCGCTCGAGGTAGCCACGATTCAGGGACGCTCAAGCCCTGGTCCACCCAACGGATTTCTGCCGGCCGATCTTTGCAAAGGTAGAGCCCCTCGATTCGAAAACGAGCGTGTGTAATAGCAAACTGGCGCCCGCCATCTACAAATGCCTGTGGGGAAACCAGGCTTGCCATTGGCATTGACGAATTACCTACTCAATATCCATCATTCGCCGACCATGCCCCTGAGCCCCTTCTTACCCAGAGGTCGAAACCATGCCACCCCACTCTCTCGCCAGCATCCCCATCAATACTGATAAGAGAGCCCCGTCCGATTCAGCTTGCGCTTATTGAGAATGTAGTACTGGACATTGGCCCAAATACCACAAGCCGCGGCGGCAGTAGTGAGGCCTGTTATAACTGTCCATCCGTTGCGATACTTCGGTGCATCCTCTTCTCTGAATAGCTGCTTACCAACAATACCTGAACAATTGGCAGCCATGATGAGTATGGCCATGGTGATAGAACGTTCACCGGCGGACTTGGCGTTGGCAGAAACCCAAGCGCCATTGACAGGATCTGCGGTGTGCATCAGTTACATGATTCACCAACTATAGACGGGAATGCAAACCTACGCCAAGGAAACGAGAATGCCGTTGACAGAGTCAACATGGCAAATCTCGCGTTGCGGCCGGCATCTATTAGCAAATAGTTGCCAAGCTGTGTATTATTAGCTGGGAGCTTCGCCAAGAAGAAGCACATGATAAAACATCAACTAACATTGAAGCCCCAGAATATGAATAAGCCTAGGAACACCCATGGACCGCGAACTCCCGTTTTATCGCTGCAAACATCAGTCATTCTGTTTTGTTTTGATGGTGATAACCTTGGCGCAGAAGCGCATACGCGGTAAACCCCCATAAGAGGTTGATTGGAATCAAGAGCCAAGCGCCAATTGAAACCATGGCATTGGACTCCAATCTCTCGAACCCCATTGAATTCACAAGAGAGGGTGCATAAGATGACAGAGTAGAAGATGGTGCCAGGGCAGCGATAGTGAAGACAACATGGGGGATGAGTCTCCAGTTCGTCAACTAATTTCACGTGAGCCAACTGTCGGTGACGCCCGGGTTAGGGAGTCCAACACGTACCGCTGATCTCAGCTCTGGCCAGCTAACCGAGCGCTTCGAATGAGCCTTGGACGGGTCGTCGATCATGACTCTCTTATACAAGATTTCGGCTTCCCGTTCCGAGAAATAACGAAAGCCGAGCATCGATATTGGGTTGTTGACTTGATTGGGAAAGCAAGCGAAAAATGCGATGCCGACTAAAATTGTGAAAATTCCCTCAAGCTAGTGATCAGTCGTTAGTTTTTCTCCGAATGCCCTCTTTGTTGCCGACTAGAATCTTTTCCCCGTAGGCCAAATCCAACTTACGATGAAAAGCCACTGCCATCCAGCAAGTTCAGCAATGCCTCTCATGTGCAAGCTTAGGGTACACACTTTGTCAGCTCTTGCTCGAGATTGACGAGAACTCATCGTTTGTGATCGACTCACATTCCGTACGCTATGAGGCCTGAGCATGCGGCAGCTAGCATGTTACCAATGAAGAACCACGAGAACCTTTTGCTCGTCTCATCTCTCTTATACCAACGCGTCATCGTGAAAAGAGCTGCAGGAATGAACCCTGCCTCGCAAAGGCTACATGTACGATTTATCAGTTCTCTTCAGATGATATTGCTTGATGAAGCTATCCAGGCTTACCCAAGGAGTATTCGGGTCACCATGTATGCTCCCAGCCCTTTTTGAAATGCTTGGAAGGTCGCAACTAATCCCCTGTCCACTTGTCAGTATCACTGTAAGGCTATTGCAGTCTTCCTAGAAAGGTTGAGAAAGTATTACCAGGCCACAATCTGTCCTCCAATCCAGAGCGTTGGTCCAATACGGTAAAGAACTAGGTTGCTTGGTATCTACGGGTTATGTCAGCTGGATGTTTGGGTTAAGTTAGGAGGTTCCAGTTCCATCTACTGACTTCCAGAATCACGATGCCTGCAGATAACAACTGTTGGCCAACGTTAAATTGGTTCTGTGTGATACCAACATCTCTGAGGAAATAGTCTGTCAAGGCATTGCCACTGCGTTTGGTCAGATATGGTTGCAGTTCACCTCAATCATGCTTGGGTAGTCTTCATACATGTTGCCACGGTCGAGCTGTAGAGCAAAGAAAGCGAGGATCAACAGCGGCATGATAATCAAATCAACTCTGTAAGTCCCGAAATTCGCTTTAGTTATCCGAAGCCCAAGAGCGTATGACTGTTGACAAACTTACTTTCGCACCAATTGTCGCTCTTCCTCCGGACTCCAGTCGATATCGGGATTTTCGCCATCGCTCTGACTTCCTGGGCTCTTGGCTACCATCTTGACTTGCTTTTCGTCTACTATGGTTAGCATTGTGAAGAACTGAGGGAATATGGTAGGTCGTGTTGGTTTCGTAGACGTCGACTCGAAAGCAATACGTCGAAGGATGAACTCAACATGACCACTTGAACCTTTGTATATTCTTGAACAACTACGGATACCCGGCAAACTCTGCCAAAAGGCATTCCCGAAACAAAAATGGTACCTTGCCCCTCATTGATCCCGGCTCACCTATTTAGGTCTCGCCTTGCTGTTCGACGTCCCACATATGTTGCAGCTGTCAGGCTCGGACTTCTTGCTCTAACCAGACGGAACGTTGTCATGAACGCAGCATTTCCGTGGAGAATTGAACAAATACCACGCGTCGCAGAGCCAATTTGTCGTATCGTGTTCAGGCTGCCACATGTCTTCTGGGCCGACACTCGGTCGTCTGCTGTCTGGATATTTGAGATGACCCACTCTCTCGTTGATGCCATCATTTGGATCGCTCACGCCATCGACAGTGACCCTTCAGAGTGCTCCAAACTCACATTTAAGCATCCACCCTCTACGCAGCTAGGCTTAAGTAAGATTCTGATGCAATCGGCTCTCGGAATTGCGAATGTCTTCGGTGCCAATCGGATGGTCAGGTTCCTCGGGAGCGGCCGACTTTTCAACTATCGAGGCATGCGCACTGCTACTTTGCACCAGATCATCGGCCATGTTCCGACACAGGTACCTTACCTTACCTTTGGTAGACAATCGATATCTCCAGATCAAGCGGTCTCTGAAAATTAAAAGATATGTTTCTATGCATGTTTAGTTTCCCGATCAAATTTCAATCTCGAGGAAGTCACCTTCAGATGAACTGGCCACCTCTTTTTGCGTTGTGAGCCTTGGGCATGAGAAATGTGCTGTTGGATATTGAGAACACTAACCAATTTCTTCCAGGCTCTTCTGGACTACAGGTGCACGCAGTTGACGAATTGTCTAGTTGGCGACCTAGGAAGCGCGGGAAAAGCCCAACTTATATGTCACTCTAACGCAAGGCACCCTCCTCGTCGCCCGCAAATCAGAAGTCAGCCCGGCATGTCTCATCTCAAGGTCAGATCGCGCAATATTCAGATGTTGACGTGCCCGATGGCACGAAATGAGGGGAAATTGAAATGTTGAACTAATAGTCAAAGTGATGAGGTCTTGTGCTTCAACAAATATACCTCTCGCATACGATATCCAGCTGATTCCAGTTTCCGCCTTCTTCCAGGGATACATATATTCAACATGTCAAATTTAGAATCTAGAAAGCATATCTCCCCAGACTCGGGCTTTCCGATCTCCTTGCATCCGCACTTCAATCCCAAGATCAAAGATCATGTACCTCTTGAGCCAGTCCGTGAGGAGAGATTTCCGGAGAAGGACAGGGCATCCTTCGCCGATCCTGAGAAGAAATCCCTCCTTTCAGCAGCGAAGAGACTTGATTTGACAGAGTCAATCGGCACAGTCTTAGAAGGTGTGCAGTTGTCACAGCTTTCGGCACAGCAACTGGATGAACTCGCACTTCTTGTTACTGAGCGCGGGGTTGTCTTCTTTCGGAACCAGGACCTGACAACTGAGGGTCAGGTCAAGCTATTCGAGCATTACGGCACTCTCGACCGTCATCCCGCGCAGAAGAATGGGAAGTATGTTGTTATCAAGGGCAGTCGCGAGGATCACCGTGAAATACTCAAGTACACATCTTGGCCCTCTGGAGACTTCCACGCCGACACGTCCTTTGAGATCAACCCGCCATCCTACTCCTTGTTGCGCATGGAGGAACACCCCAACGTCGGCGGTGACACTGCCTGGGTCTCTCAATACGGACTTTATGACGCTCTCAGCGACGCCATGAAAAAGTTTGTTGACGGACTGCACGCAGTACACACCTCACGGCTACAATATGACACAATCTTGGACCTATGGGGTACTGGCCCAAACCGCCCTCCCCTTGATTCACACCATCCAGCTGTTAGAACCCATCCAGTCTCCGGTCTCAAGGCGCTGAATGTCAATCCAGGCTTTGTAACCGCCTTTGCTGAGCTCAAAAAGTACGAGTCTGACAAACTTTTGGACTTTTTTTCGTACCACATCCACTCTGCCGACGACCATGCTGTTCGGTGGAAGTGGGAGGTGGGCAGCGTGGCCATGTGGGATAATAGGTAAGTTGGACGTAATCGAGTTAGGCCCTCTTTCACGTGCTCTCGTCCCAAGCTCACCCTTCTCAGATGTACAATTCACCGTGTTATCCCGGGGACTTACCAAGAACCGCGTAAGGGTATCAGAACAACCGTATTTGGAGAGAAGCGTAAGTTCTGTCATCACACTCTCATTTCTTCTCAATGTCATCAGTCTAATGGCACACTTAGCCTATTTCGACGTGAACAGCGAAAGCAGAGAAGAGCAGGTAGCAAGATTAAGTAGTCAGCCAAGCTAAGGCTTGATACAGAGGGCTCAAGAAGGGCCCGTGAGAGTAGACATGCGTAAGCGATTACATTAGCCAAAACTCGGAGACAAGGTGGCGTTCCAACTCTCCACCTTCCCTTGCTTATCGGTAATCTGAATGTGGTCGGAGTCGAACTTTCTTTATCGTGATTCTAGCATACCTAAACAACGAACCCTGCTTCTTGACGTCCGTCTTGCGCAACGTATCTATAATCGGCACGCATCCAGCATGAATATCCTGATGACTCTCGCCTTCTAATTGGCACCCAGGTCTGGCCCGAGGCAGTACTCAATCAGGCTTTCTCCAGCTCTTCCGTTATCCATGCTTCATTCTCGTGTAACTTTCCAGTTGGTATGTACGTGTATCGCAGTATTGGTTTGCTCTCTTGTCAGTTTTCGTTCGGAATCGCCATCGTCATTGCTGCCCGTCTCGTGCTCCTTGTCATTCTTGGACCGTCAGCGAATCTCTCCCAGGACTTTATAGGCGGCTTGAATGCCATTAGAAGAGTTGACAACTAACCAGTTCTATCCATGCTGTGTACTGGCCAGGTTTGGGTTGCACCTTAATCTGCCCACTCCGCGATCCCTTGTTGAATGCGCTCTGGCTATTGGAATTTTCTAGCGAAGAGGACTTGTACTTGGCTCTCCATCTGAGGTAGAAGGGTCGAAGCATAGGGATGTTGATACAAAGACCTGCAAGCATGAGCTCAACTGTGCAGAGCATGAATGTCGTCAAGGAAGTGCCAGTCAGATTGCCAATGAGATCGATAACATAGATCTGCCAGAATCGAACAACGCCAATCACACAGCATCTTCGCTATATCAGTTCACCGAGTCATCGATAGCAGTATTAAAGAGACCAGGTGGATCGACTCACGCTAAGCCGAGAGCGAAGCAGGCAATGACAGCAAGCTTTTCGGTTTTCCGCATTTGTAATTGCCAGACAGTCCAGATAGGTAGAATTACAATGAATAGGTCGGTGATAACGTTTGTCATGATAATGCACTTGAGCACCAAGATCTGGTCCATGCAGTGCCCGATTCGCTGCACCGTCCATTGTTGGGAAATCGGATCACAGAGGAAGATGAAGACGAAGGTGAAGACCAAAGCCCATGCAATGACAACGCTGCCAATAAGGAAGATCCACCACTTGAGTTGAACAGAAAAGGCTCTGTAATAGAACCAGAGCTGACTGAGCTTCAAGGACGCCAGTGACCAAAGGTAGATAAGTGTGAAAGCAAACGTCGTCTAGTGCATTCTTAATCAGGTATGGTTCATAGCGTGGAGAGTTTGAGAGAAAGTCTCGCTTTCAGGGTAGATACTATTCTTACCTTCAAGATGAACTGCATGTTGTTGAGCACTGTCCAACATGATCAGCGCCGGAAAATTCAAAGCGACGATCGTAAGTCCAATGACACCTTTGGGGTTGCTGACTGCTTCTTGGAAGGATACTAGTCGTCTTAGAACATTCACTCACATTTTGGATACACCTCAGAGTCAGGATCGAAGTTGTACCCGACACCAGACGTGAATACTGCGGTGTCAGTCAGTATTCTATGCCACCAGACTGGAGAGCCATCTCATAACCTACCTGCTGCATTCATTCCTATTGTACTGCCTGATAGAAGCTGTTATACCTGTTAGGCCAAGTGCGAGACGCAGTCACTATCAATCGTAACTCACGCAAGCAGCCAAAGCCAAGATGTCATCTCCGCCAACGCCAATTCCATGGTATCTGCCCCAGAGTCTAGCAAACACTACTGCTGCAAAAACCGCCCATAGAAAGCAGATAGCTATGAGCGAGTCTCTTGCGCTAGTCGTCATCGGGATGTACAATGGTGGCGGCGACGCCAGCGTCGCTGGTGTAGCCATCGAGGGCAGTGGTCGATTGGGGTCTCGGTTTCAACAAGTCGATGAATGGGATATGAGTGATGAATATGAGCCAAGTTCCGCATAGTACTTTATAACGGGGAGGGATGAACAACAGATACACTGAGGGGAAATATATGGACGATGAAGGGCAGTTCTAGCTCCTGGGCCCCAGTAGTTAAAGTTATGACGCTCAGCCAGTCATACTCGGCGAGATTCTGCGGCCCTGGCTAGGCTGAAATTGATCACGAATTTCAGCGCTCTGGAGTAGGCAAGTCGGGATGAAAATCTCCAGCTTGTTGACTTAGCTGAAGCCGGGGGACATGCTTTTTGTTGCCGAGCTTTAGAGCCCTAGTTCCGGGTGCACTATCTGGTGTCGCCATGACTTCGCCTCGCCCTCCTGTGGACCACGTTTCCCAGGGTCTGCCAAGCCGTGACTCGCGGAGACCCATTACTGGTTCTGAAATATGATTGCGCTGAAGTAGAAGTGGTGGTTTCCATTCCTGGTTGCTCATTTGCCATGGCGCTCCGCATGTCTTCGATGTTTCGACAAACGGCAATTCTAAAGCTTGAGCGGAACTTGGAGGGTGATTTTTTGTGCCAGTACTTATTGCGAAGGAGTAGGTACTCATGGAATAACTTAAATTCACTAAGATTTGAAAACGGCCAAGTCCTTCAACTTGTGTTCCTCTTGCTTGCACAGGAGAACTGGCGTCGAAAATATCGGCATAGATTAGCGGGTAAAAAGGAGTGATGCTTTGGGAATCAATCGGGGATACTGCTCCTCTGAACTTTCGGGGTGGTAGTGTCTCGCTTGCTTTTTCCATGAAGTGCGGGATGTGTACGAATGGATGTCCCTTCTAACCTGTTGGTTCTCTGAGCTCCTGGGGCTCGTCGTTCCTAACCATGGCTTACAAAAAGTCACCAATGCTTGGCATCCGCTGACCCCTGTGTTTCTAATCCTACAAAGTCTCTCTTCGGGTTTAGCCCTTGCCAGTCGCCGGTGACCATGGACTTGCTCCGCTCAGTCTCACCAGAACGTCGCATGCCAATAGCTAGATTATGTAGAGTTGGATTGGGCAGAGAGAAGCGGGCTGGGATTAGCACGCGGCCGCTCAATCGGGTGCCCAAAGATGACTATCCGTACATCTCTAGAAAGACATTTCAAGTAGTTGATCTTCTCCTCAAATTAGAGTGAAAACCTGCAGTCCCCGAATGAAGGTTCATGAACTATTCCTGATGAAGAATTACAACTCGGCAGTCGGGCCCTGCACATGATCAGTTTTCCGAAAGGAGGCTGTCTAAGACTTTGACACACGCTGAAGCACTGACGCTTGATAGGCATGTTTCGCTGGTCAGAAGTAGTGAGATGATAGTCCTCTAGTCACTCAGTATAGAGAACTTCATCGCTTGATACTTTGATCGTCGTGCGGGAACCATGACTCCATCATCGACAAGATCCATCCATCATACCCTGGTTGGCCATTGGTTTGGAGCACGCGTCTCTAGATCGCGGGGGCTCTGAGTGTATCCCGTTGTTTTAGTGGTAGAAATATCACATCAGTCCTGATGACACAACAATACGATCCATATGTGGGTGTTTACAAGCCCTTTTGACTTGCAGTTTGGACTTCTAATCGGCATCGAGACGTGTCGTAAAGAACAGCAGCTCACTACTTAGTACCTTAATCACGGATACAACTGCGGTTGCCTGTTGATATTTAGCGAGAGAAAAATGCTGACCCCGACTGGATGGTGAACAACCAAGTGTCACAAAGTTCCTAAAGTGGAGAGGCAGTGGATGTGTCTCCATTATCTGCCCCCGGTCCGTTCCATTCGGGTTCCCTGGACGCTTGAAGATCATTGAGAGATTCGTCTTAGTGCCGTGTGCTGGTCACGTTGCATTCAGGCGGTATCTCTGTGTGTCCCGTTATGATGTCTCAGGCTTCTGAGTCCCGGCAAGGATAAAGTTGTAGCGCAACCTCGAATTACTTTTCCTTCCTCCCACGGCTGGAGGGGGGAAGGTCTAGATCATGCTGTTTCCATCAAGATTAGCGTATACGGTGAGCTTTGAGTTTAAGATCAGTCATCATCGCTAATTCCAATAAGAACCACGGTACAGAGTGTCTCGCTTATTGCACTTCGAATGGCTGACCTAGCCACGGTACCTATATTATGCGTCGACGGTCGGTGCTGTTGGCTGATTTAGGATTCTTCAACGGGCTCTAGGTCCTTCTGGGCATTGTGGGTCGCCCCCGCAGGCTCACTGCACTAGTAAACGCTAGTTGGCTCCTCTCGTCAAGATTGCTCCTTTTCTCAGGGGCTCGTTATGGTTGTGCTGGAGTCTTGATCTCCAGACAGGCCATGAAAGCTGCTCGTCTGACCAGTAAGCGCACGTCTTTTATCAATGTCGCGGTGGCAGGTGGGCCAAAGTGAGTTGAGCTGCACTGCCTGGGTGGTGCTGGCAAAAGATGTATGCAGTATATATCCATTGGAAAGGTAGGTGTCACATAAACTTACGCTTAGCAGAGGTTGCGTCGAAAACACTGCCCTCTCGTGCACACTCATCAAAGGCAGTTCACCGATTTGTGTCTGAAATGGCCTCCAATGCCATCATAGATGGCCTCAAGGCTGCCCTGAGTCCCAATGCAGTCGTCTACTTTATTGGTCTCTATATCGCTTATCACATCGCCATAGCCTTGTACAATATCTCGCCATTCCATCCGCTAGCGCGTTTTCCTGGTCCCAAGATCGCAGCTGCATCTTACCTATATGAAGCGTACTTTGACTGGTGGTTGCTTGGCAGATATGGCAAGGTCATTGCACGGATGCACGAGCATTATGGTAGAAGCAACGAAAGCCCTAGTCTGAGACATAACCCGCTGCTGACCAACATAAATCACAGGGCCCATTGTCAGAATTAACCCGGATGAACTTCATGTATCTGACCCCTACTTCACTGACGAAATCTATGCCGGTCCGGGCCGTATCCGCGATAAGTGGCAACATCAGCTCAACACCGGCGGCGCAGGCCCTGTTTCGGTTACCGGCTTCTCCACCGTCAATCATGAGGTTCATCGAATGCGCAAGGGCGCATTGTCAAAATTCTTTTCGCGTCAGCAAATGCTTAAACTTGAGGGCGAGGTGCAGGAGTTTGCCCAGCTCACGGCAGACAAAATGCTCCGCTCGGCGGGGAAGGAGCCATTCGACGTGAAGGAGGCATTCAATTGTTTCACTGCGGATATCATTTCCCAGTATGCTTTTGGAGAGCCTATGGGTTTCATCTCTCAGGAAGGATGGGAGCCCAACTTTGCTACTTGGGTGAAGTCCTTCTTCAAAAGTGCTTACATGATGAGACACAACGCCCTTGGTCGTAAAATGGCTCAAGTAATGCCTATGATGGCTGATTACTTGGGTGAAGACATCAAGTCTGTCATGAGACAGATGAATGTTGTTATCCCCGGGTATATCAAGGCAGCTCTGAGCAACCCGGAAAATGGAAGAGTTTTTGCCGATCTCATGGAATCCAAGACACTTCCCGAAGAAGAAAAATCCTTGTACCGACTCTCTGGAGAGGGCTTCAACTTCTTACTCGCAGGTACCGAGACCACTGCTGTGAGACTGGGTTCCTTCCCGTTAAGTGCCGCGTTGCTAATTGTTGTGACACAGGCTACTCTGACTGTCGTGACGTACTACCTTCTCGCCCAGCCCCAGACCTATGCTCGCCTTATGGAACAGTTGCAAGGTCTCAACCCATCGAACCTGAAATGGACAGAGCTCGAACAAAAGCCTTACCTGTGGGCAGTCATTCACGAGTCTCTTCGCATGATGCCTGGTGTCTCGCACAGATCTGCCAGGATTGCTCGCGAGGAGGACTTGGTTTACAGAACCCGTGACGGTAAAAAGGAATGGCTTATTCCTAGAGGAACTCCAGTTGGCATGACATCAATGATCAACCACTGGAACGAGGAACTCTTCCCAAACCCCGAGGAGTTCATTCCCGAGCGCTGGTTGATCGATGGCCAGCCGAATCACAAGCTGCAGAAGTTCCTTCTCGCGTTCGGAAAAGGCAGTCGTTCCTGCGTTGGTGAGAAGTAAGTGCTTGTTCAGAAGTCAAGGCTCTCGGTCCTCAATGCTAACGGCGCCTCTCAGCTTGGCATATTGCGAAGTCTATCATATGGTGGCCATGATGGCTCTCCGCGTCATACCGAGATCCAATCTGTTTGAAACCACGGTCGAAGATATATCTTACGACCATGATCTCATCGTCGTACAAACTAAGAAGGGCTCAATTTCCGTCAAGATAAAAATTACCTGAGGTGGGTTTTACTGATTGTCAAGAGGTTACAACATCACTTAAGGATGGGGTGATCATGATCGTCCATGGCTCTACTTCCAGCATTGGCGCTTCACATAAGTCTCAAGGGCCAGTCACGGAAGTATCAATTCAGTGGTTCTTTCATCCTTGTTTCTGCCTTCGTTCTCATTGCCACAATGCGGCAAAGGTACGGTGCTACTTCCACCGCAAGTCACAATCAAATATCATCAAAGGAAGCCGAATGGGAATTGTGGATAAGGCTTGTTTCCACAGCAAGGTACTTTAGTAGGAATCTAATTCTCCTGAAATGCACATCTTTACTGCCTCTGCAGTAACCTGGTCAAGATCCTCCACCGGGAGGTTCAAGGCCACATTTGCCAGCCCGTGCTTGTGCTCGACGTCACCATCAGTCGCGGAGAAGAAAATGCGCGAGTACATCATTCGCGAAAACCCACTCCTATCCCCTGATCTCAGTGCCTCGTAGCCAGCCTCCCACCTCTTTTTCGAGCTCTCGCGGTTAATTAGCCAGTCCTCGTTTGTTGTATTCGTGACCCTCTTCATGCTTTCGAACATGTCTCGTTGAGAGACCAAGAAGCTCGAGACGTAGAACACATCGTTGGCCCAGTTCTGGATGTTGGGAGACTTATCGTCCTTGTCATCAGGCAACCACTTGAGGCTCAAGAAAGCGGCCAGTCCGCGGCCACACTGAGACCAGGTAGAAGTATTGATCTTGATATCGCCCTCATCAAATAGGGTGAGTGACTTGTTTCTCACGTCGAATCCATATCGATTAGGCGAGCCGGCCACACTGAATTCGTACCAAAATCCACAAGACATGATGATCCATTCGCTCACCCCAAGATGCTCAATCTCTTTGACAGCTCCTTGAAACGAAGAACCAAGAAGAGCATCTTTCATCATGTCTTCGTTCTTCGGATCAGGACCCCACGCGTTCGGCATGACGTAAGAGACGCCAGCTTTGGCCGCAGCCCGTACAAGCTTGTTCTGGGTCTCCTGGCCGACGGTGGACTTCATTGTGATTATCAAGTATTGCTGTCCCTTTAGAGCCTCCACAATCGAGCTCTCGTCGTCGTAGTTGACCTTGGCAGCAATAACACCGTCGGGCAATTTTGAATCACTGTCATGTCGAGTAATTGCGGTGACCGAGTGTTTTCCACCTTTCAATAGCTCCCGAGCTACAAATTTTCCCATGGTTCCAGCAGCCTTAGACTTGTCAGTCTCTTTTCTTGTGATTTGCTTGGGGCTCCCGATGTAGTTGAAGAGGTACTTACACCGACGATGGCAACTTTCTCTATACGATTCACAAAGCCTTCCGGCTGATCTTTGGCAAATCGAAGAGTCTTGGGGGCCATTGTGTAGATAATATCTGAGTAATGAGACGGTAGGGTTTTATATTGAAGAGTAGAACAGTCGATGATGGTGATCACTCAAGGGAGTTGGCCTTGATAATGCTTCAATTGGAACCAGTTTGACGAGCTTGTGATATTTTCCGACCAGGTGAACGGCATGGTTGGCTTTATATCTATTTCTTCAGCGTCTGGAAAAAAGTTGCATTCTTAGATCGAGGAAAAGGTACTTCTGCAACCAAGACCCATCGTTGTGGATCATCATCATAAGACAATGAGTGCATCGTGAGGCATGAGACTGTACGCTAGGCTCGGATTTACAGGTACACGCGGCGTAAATACGCTCCGCTGTGGGCATGAGCTTTCAAACGGAAGAGGTCTTTCCATTGCAGACAACGTCATCACACTTTTTACGCTAACTTCCAATCGTATTCTATGATCTGTTGGCTCTGCCGGCATTAAGCAATCTAAGTGCGCAAAATGTCTTAAGAAAATTTACATTCGGTTCCCTCGACGCTCCCATCCATCAATGGCGCATCGCATTAGGCTTATTAGCTTGTGGTAAGTCCGTTGATTGTAGCCGGGAGCCGGAAACTTGAGTTTCCGTATTGGGAATCCCCAGCTCCGACGCTTGGCCATCGGGCGGCGCTTACCCAGAAACTAGACCCATTGGACTGCCACAGATATCGACGTACTCCTTCACGATTAGGCTACAGGATATCCGTTTAAGGCGATCTCCTCTCAAACTTGCACCGTCTTAACTCCGCCAGGATGCCATCTTTCTCTTTGCGCCAAGCCGGCGCCCCATCTTTCCAAGCCGGGCTCCACGCTGTGATCACCGAGTGTCCGTGGCCTTGGCATTCTCCACACTCTCGACGTCGAAGACTCTTGTACACAAGACGCGACGGTGATAAGATATGTTACTGACAGCCCGTCGCTTAATATTTTGCAAACTCTCTCATACTGAAAGGCCTTAGTGTTGACATGGCGCTTTGTTCAGAGGATTAGCAGGCAATGACGCCCTACAGTGTATGCAATTTGCTATCTACATTGGTTCTACAAGCCTGACACGGCTGGCGTTGCTGGCAAAGTATCTACAGGAATTGAAAGCCTTGAACAACAAACAACCTCAGTGATTCGAGTCAGATTGTCGGCTTATTCGGTCAAGTTATCCTCCGCAATAGTGATGGAGTCGACGGTCCAGGTAATACCGTTGTCCTTCGTCTGCCATTCCGTGTGGGTAGCGTTGGTGTAAGAGATGATGTCGGCCAAGTTTGTAACAGCCTTGTCGAAAACAAGGGTGATATTGGTGTACTTGTAAGCCGGCAGAGTACCGCAGCCATCGCCGTAGCACTCGTTGCCAGAGTAGAAGACGGCAGGTCTCATCCCCTTGGCTGTGGTGGATTCAATGTCAGCATTCGTCTTGGAAGTTGATATCGGCGTCACTTACAGTCAGACTCGGAAGAGATGAGGTCTCCGTTCTGCCAGATCTTCTGGTCAATCATGTCGGTGGAGGAGTTGAGAGAAACTATGGCACTTTAAGCAAACTGGTCTCGCAATAGCATCTGGCATGGCAAACATACTCTCAAACTCAAGAGTGGCCTCCTTGTTGACCGGGACGTAGGCCTGGCCAATTTGACCGCTGGGCTGGTAGGTGCTAGCAGCAGCACACCACTGCGTGTTGGGAGCGCTGCAGCCCCAGACGGAGTTATCGGGTCCCCAGTTGAGAAGGGGCTGGACAAAGTTCATGTTGAGCACGTCGCCGTTGTTGGGATTGTCCTGAACACCGATCCAAAGGGAGAGCCAGCGCTGGGTCTCATCGGTCTTTACCCAGTTCGTGGGCGGGTTGGGAACCTCCATGCTGTAGGTAGCCTTGGTGATGTACTGGCCACCGGTGGTAGGGCCAAGGTAGAACATGTTGCCATACTCGTAGTTGGGGTAAATATCGGCTCTAGCTCCCAGAGCCAGGGAAGCGGCGGCGGCGATGATTGAGTTGCGCATCTTGTAAGGACTGTTGAGTAAAAAGAACAACGGAAAAGCGAATGACGAGAGATCCTGTCTCTGTAGTTGGCAAAAGTTCAAAATCGAAGAAGAGCGTGATGCGGTTGGCTATCGTGAGAAAAGTTGCCAAGCCCCATGCTTTTGGTCTTATAAGTCTGTAAGCCTTCATTTAGTTGATACTGCCCCTAGTTGAAACATTTGGTAATAAAGGTGGACGTGCCCCCTATCGTGGGTCGATTCAGCCTACGGAGAAATTAGTCCTGCCCACACGGGTAGATCGGCATCCAGCGCAACGGTAAGTGGCGGAATGATATAGATGAGATCGTCCGTCGGTTTCCTCTTGTGCAACTCAGGGTTCATTTTCGCCTGTGCTTTGTTGGCGCGACTCGCCAGAATCATCAAGCAACAGAGGCTCAGAGCGCAAGCCGGACCTGGCAGAGCAGAAGCCATCACACCACTGCGGGATACCGAGCCGGAGTACTATATTCTACGGCATAGACCCGAGATTACAACACACTTTTTGTACGCCTCAAAGCTTGAGCATTATTGCAACTTGCCTGTCCGTCGTCGTCACCGGATCCATCGCAAGTTGAAGATTTCGAGCTAGACTCGGAAGAGTCAACACAACCCCGCAACGGTTTCAAGTGGAATACCTAGTTCAATACGAAAATTGGGCGATTAAACGAGCTGCCCTGAGGTCTTGGGCTTCCTGATTGATCCGAAGACTTAATTTGTCTTATCGGAATAAGTTGTCGTCTTCTTCTTTGAGTTGTCACCCCCTTGTCAGCAACACATCGTTCTCCATCTGCGACAGTGTTAAGGAGTGGGAGGTTTTCTCAACATACCTTACTTATCGCTCACGAGTTGAATTGGAAAGGATCTTGACGAGGTACAGATTTCTCTCAAGGCTCTCCTTTCGTTTCAACGACAACCCACCCCAAGCATTGTAGTCAAACATGGAGTTGCTGTGGTCCTGGTACGAGCTCATTTAAGGTTCAAATGCCTTAGCTTTGGGGTAGTCTGAGCTGTCAATGCCAAGGTTGAAAGCAAACTCTATTGAATGGAAGTCCCTCAAAAGTCAGAAGCTTGTTCTGAACAACAAGGTAATGAATTGGCAGGGCTTGCAATAAGAACAGACGACAGCCCCACGGATAGGCTGTGGAATGGCCGTCTAGGACTTGCACAGGTCAATGGTAACTTGGCTCTTGCTAGCTTTCAGGATCGGGGCATTATGCCTTTTGAAAGAGAACAATAGTACACGGAGGTGAATGCCGCGTGATCAATAGTACCGTTAGGGCTATTCATATTAGTCATTGGTTGCTCTGGTGAATTGCCAGAAATCAACAAAGTCTGTGGCCAAAATCTTGATGTCCAGAACACGCGGTTCTTCAGACTTCTAGAATGTAAAAGTACATAATATTACGCATCAAAAGTTCCTATTGGTCTGTATACTTGCGAAAAAAGCATACCTGGTCTTCTTAGCATCGACTATAATGATGGGCTTCCTGTAACTGTCTAACGTAGAATAGGGTAACATGATACCAGACTGACCAAAACCTGTCTGAGGGGCGACCGTGACCTCGCAATGGATATTTACACCGCGCTTGCTATCGCAGTAGTCTTCAAATACGGTATTTAGAGACTACGGAAGAGCTCAGAGTCTCCTACTTTTGACTGGAGCTGTCACTGGCTTTGAGAGCGATAGATTTATGCCTCGATGTTGACAACGAATTCATCGCCAGTCTTGACGGTATTTCTCGGCGTATCAATACTGATACAAGTGCTTGAAACTGAGAGAACTGTGAGATGATCAAAAAATGACAAGTCCCAGCGCGAACCAGGATGAGGGTGTGGTCACAAGGTAGTCTTTAAGCCCTGTCTTTGATACGACGTTTGCCATGACAATCATACGCCAATGGCCAAATATCAGCTCAGCTCATTGTCCAGAGATCAAACAAGAGCTCATTCTGTCAGCTAAAGGCCGGATCCCAGTGATTATCAACGTGATCATAAGACGTCCTACGTTAGCCTACGGGCCTGGTGCTACGGCCACGGGCTACGCGTCTATGGGCATCGGGCATTGTATTTTTTGCACATGTATGGTACTTTACTACGTCTATTTGTCTGATTAACATGGTGAACACATGTGTCGCTGAAAACGAAAGAGCTTAAGCTATGCTACATCGCCAGTGACCCTGGGTGGTCTCAACCGCTCTTTGGTCCATCCAAGGGGCTGACAGTTGGATCCCAGCAGACTGGGGAGTACTCGTCTGTCTCCAAGTTCTTGACGTCCTCGTCCGTGAGTTGGAAATCGTAAATCTTGGTGTTATCCAGGATACGAGTGGGTGTCACACTCTTGGGGAGAGGGATGTAGCCCTTCTGCAAGCTCCAGCGCAGCAGGATCTGGGCCTCTGATTTGCCATGCTTTTCAGCCAAGGCCTTTAGAGTCTTGTCGCCCCATCTCTCACCCCTGACCAGAGGGCTATAAGCCTCGATAGCGACGGTGCGTTTCTGGAGCCACTGAACGATATCGTTGCGCGCGCACCAGGGATGGATCTCGTACTGTGCGACGTTGATAGCGCCACCCTTACCTTTGCCGCCGCGCTCCTCCTCGAGCTCCTTGATGTGCGTCTCGAGCTCGTCGAGGTGGTGCACGCCGTAGTTGCTGACGCCAATGGACTTGACCAGACCAGCCTCTTGGGCCTCGACGAGGGCCTTCCAAGCACCCTTGCGGCCCTCTGAGCCGCCATAGGGGCAGTGAAGCAGCATCAGGTCAATGTAGTCGAGGCCGGTCTTTTCTAGAGTATCCTTTACCTGGTTCTTGGCATCGTCGTAGTTGATGTAGCGAACCTTGGAGGTGAAGAAGACGTCGGAGCGGGGGATATCCTTGACACCACGGATGGCAGCTCCGGCGCCGGCCTCGTTCTTGTACGAAGCCGCCGAGTCGACCTGTGATGGTAGTCAGTAGGTGACGAAAAGTCAAGGCTGACGCCGTGGAACTCACATGGCGGTAGCCGACTTTGAGAGCTTCGGTAGTGACCTCTTCAGCTTGCTCGGGCGCACTAGTAATCGGTGTTGGTAATGTTGGATGTTGGATGTTATAATGTGGTTCCAGTTGTACCTACGTCTTCCATAGCTATATCGATGTCAGTAATAAGGTCACGATAATCGCGCAAGGGGAGAGAGTCATACACCATAACCGAGCACAGGGATCTCGAGGCCGTTGTTCAGCCTCTGCTTGGACTGGAGTGTGAGTGCGGACGCCATGTTGTGGAAATGGTGCGCGGAGAAAGCGATGGGTTTAATAAGTTTTTGCTTTTTTGAAGATGAGATGAGGTGAAGGAAAAACATGAGCTGGCCGATGGCACTTGCAGCCGCAATTTGGGCAACGTCTGTCTTCCCGAATGAGGCTATTAGTCATTCGGGTCCAGGATAAGATGAGGAGTGATCCCCCGCCATTTGCACCATCCAATTTGTCCCGTCGGCTGCGTGTTCGGTGTTGCTATGCCGAGCTGTTGCGCGCTGTCGGAGACTCCTGTTGCTTGGATCACGAATCGTGTCTCACCCGGACGGTTCAGTGAGCACAGGCGGCGGCCCAGGATGTTCAGGTACCTACGTCAGGGCAAGGGCTAGGGCCAGAGAGGAGGGGGAGGGGCAATGGGCAGCGCTGATTACCCCGCCATTGATGCCCCTCTATCGCTATCTTCCACCAAGATTGGGTATCATCCTTTCCATATTGTTGTATGCCCGAACATTGGGGCAATTGAAGATGCGCCGAGTCACCTACGCAAGTTTATGAGTTTACAATGTTGTTTTTTATCTCCAATTTCTATGCATTTCTTCTTTTCAACATGAATTTGTTTGGTATCATTATCTCGTATATATACATCCGCTCTCGACTCAGATGATTGACTCGCCACCAGCTTCACCGCTAGTAACAGCACTATCCTCATCCTCATCGTCGTCCAAATCGTGAATAGGATAGGACAAAATGGCAGCAACACTGCCCAGCATGTCCAGCCGCTTACCGCTTTCGTGGTCACTGCTGAGGATCCTGACATCGCCACCGTCCGCTTTGACCTTGTCCACCATGGCCACGTACTTTTTCCTCGTTGGAATGTCCGAACTGCGGAATAGCGAGTTGTTCATGATGAGGACGCCGCCACCAGGGCCGATGGCACCTTCGGCGACCGCTTTTGCCACTGATGTTGTTCCGTACCACGCCCTTCCGTCCTCTAGGCGGAGTCGTTCGAAAAACTGATCCATCAGTTTTGTCTCCTTGGTGAATTTGAAGTCCTTGAGCTTGTTGCCCATCTCAGGGCTCTTGAGAACCTCGTTGAGGCTGTGGACGTGGCCCGAATTCGTGTGAATAACGACCGCCTCCCTAGCGATTCCCGACAGTTTCTTGTCTGATTTGTCCCTCCCCTCGTCCGCAATGTACTTTTTGAAATCGGTCGCGGTGAACCCAGGACTGGCGAGGAGCAAGGGTCTCGGCGTGTCAAAGTTGACGGTTCGGAGAAGGGCGGTCAGCGTCTTTTCGAAGAAGCGGGTCATGCCCTGTGAGGTTTCGGTTGCGGCGCTTCGCTTTTTGGGGATGACACTTTCGATTCGCTGCTTGACGACGGTGCGGAACTGGCTGATGAGGCAGATGTTGGCGATGCCCTCCTGCATGACGACGGCAGCCATGGCGCCATCTTTGTCGTCCGACAGACTTTCTGATAACGTGTCTTTGGCGACCGAATCCCAGCCCTGCGGCTTGCTTAACGTGAAGGGGCGAGAGACCTCGAGGTCAAGCGTGTGGTATTGGCCTAGACTGACGTAGGCATTTTCCGACTTGACCACGCCGCTGACCTGGAGCTGGCCGACAATGGGGTCGAAGAATGTGCTCTTGACTTGGATCGCAAGGACGGTGTGGACTCGTTCGGAAATCGTGCTACCGGTTTTCGTTTCGGCGACGACTTTCCTCACGGCATGCGCCATGACGAGGTCGCCGGGTGTGATGAGATTGTAGGCATGCCACTATTGTGCTGTTAGTCGGACTGAGTTGGTGCGTTTTGAATAGCATCTCGTCGCAAAACGTCGCAGCGTTGGGCGCATCAGGCGACGGGATGGAGTGGATTGGTGTACTAACCATATCCTCAGAATCTTCGGGCATGAGAGTAACTGCATCCTCTGCAATATTTTGCGACGGCTTGGTGGGAACGAGCTTCATATTTTTTTTAGAGGAAGTGCTACTGAGGCACGCGATGGAGGGGGTAAAAAAGTGGTGGGTTCCGGTCGGAAAGAATTGAAGTTGCGACGATGACGAAGATCGAGAATGTTTGAAAATATCTGGACACAGATTGGCAGATTGAATTGCCTCTGGGCTCTCAGGTCGGGTAGCTGCTGGGGAAGGGAGTGCACTGCGCATCATTTTAGGGCGTCACTGTATCTCCGAACGTGACGCCAGGAGCGCGGGGCTAAGTTACTGTAGTGGCGGGGTCGAAGTACGTATCTCCAAATGTTTCTTTCTCTTATCGTTATCGCTATCTATCGGAGACAGGTCCGATAACGATCCTCGTCTTCAGACGCATCTCAGAGCCTCCATTCAGGTGATTAAGGTTCTCCAAGTGCTCAAGAAACTCTACCTTGGCCATGACCACGTGAAAGGCCAAAATGGGGAAGCACAATTGGGTTTGAATCTTCCCTCCATGATCCTGGAGGTCGAGAGACACTCAGCTCCACTGCTCCAGGCTAGTGTTCACGGTTATCTCTTATTATGAAATTGGAACACTGGACGAATCCCCGACGCCTCAGAACTGCCACTTGTCTCGCTACCAGGTGCTTGAAGCATGGCTGAGGTCAAGATCCTTTTCGATGTAGACTCGTCTGAAGTCATTTGTCTCAGCAAATTGCCCTAAAAACCGTTGATAGTTCTCATTTACGAATACAGGCACGCAGACCCTCTGGTCCCTCTTAAGGGTATCAACCAAAACCCCCGCGCGGTGCGTGCCCATCGTCTGGCTTAACTTAGGCGAGTTGGGTTCCGGGCACAGTCGGGCGAGTGTAGATCGACGTCATGGGTCTCGTCATCTTTGTGATACCCTGCCATTGTTCAAAGTCCCCTTGCTTTATCCACGGCCCATAAGGTTAAGGTACTCAGCATAACAGCTTAATCATTTCTTTAGTATGCTGGCGCGCACAATTGAAGGGTGGGGAGGTTTTTGGGGAAGCGATGAGGAGCACGCAAGTGTATCTAATACCCATTTCTCACTATGAACTGCAAACTAACCAGCCCTAAACTTTCCAACAAAACGCCATGTTTGGAGGTGTCTGGATGGATTAAATATTGGATCATTGAGCCTGTAAGCCTTACCAGAGTTGAACTTCTCTTAAAGGCTACTTACATATGGAGCAACCAAACCACGGTCAGCTGCAGCCTCCAGAGTGCCACTTTCAAAGGTTGCTGGGTGGGCCGTGGCATTCTGCATTCACAACACAGCCTTGACTCTGGAGGGGGATGATTTGCTGTGCCCCTGGTTACCGAGGAGCGAGGATGCATCAAATAAGCTGGCTGGTGGCGATCGTCCAGTGTCGGCGTCAGCAAGCAGGCGATCCAGTTCCAAGTTCCAGCCTGGTGTCAGTGCTCCAAGCCTCCAATGTGATTTTGTGTGTGTGTGTGTGTGTGTGGTCTTGAGTTTCGCCTTGTGCTACCTCACGGGACAAAATGGGTGACTGAGTCTTGTCTCCGATTCCCCTCGCAATCGTTTCTTACATCTGACGCCAGCCTGCTGTTTTCGGCGCACTTTCCTCCACTACCTTACCTTACCTCCTTGCGGTCCACTCTCTGTGCCTTCCTCTTTCCAAGGTTCTATTTCATTTCGACCATTCTCCTGCTCATCCTTTCTGTCGGCTTCCATCTTCGAGGCAAATACTTTTCCAAGTCGTCATTGCGCACTCTGGAGGGCGAAACAAACCATCGTCAGCATACCTTTGACATCGTCATTTCCGCTCCGAGTGTCAACTGCGCGCAAACTCAATCGCCAATTGCCTCGTGCCTCGGCTCGGTACCCATTACTCCAGACTCTATTTTTCGCTTTTGGATCCGGCCAGGGTACGGTTAGATCTGGGCCAGTCTCATCTTTTTCCGACTCATTGCGCCAGAAAAAGAAACGCAACGTTTCTGCGTTCCTGTTCCCCCACACTCTGCCCTCTTCGAAGCAGGTGCATCCTGGACATCTGCATGGGAAGCTGTGCGGATCCAGCCGAGAATCGACGGAGACATGCAGCTTTGTCTTTGTTGATCACTCCCCTCCGTACAGCGTTTTGCTCCGAGTACAGATACGTTCGTTCCATACATAACCTTACAGTCAAATTACCAACCCAGCCCAAATCGACGCAAAGGGCAACTAGCAGGCTCTGGAATTGCTTACCGACCAACACTAGGCATACCTTACCTAGCTGTTCATCAAAGAAAGGGTGGAAACGCGGGCTGTGTGGGTGCCTTGCTTTAGCATACGGAATACGCGGACTGGACGAATCCGAACCCGCGTAATACGTACCCAGTCTCCCAACCACCAAAAAACACCACCACCGACCGCGTTTGACCAACGACGGTCGAGCAAGCGGGCGCTGGTTCTCTTTGGGAGAAAACCTCGCGCCGCGCCCAGGACAAAGTCCGCTTCTTCTCGTTCCCAAAGAAATTCGTATCGGAAACGACGGGATCCAGGAGAGCGATATACCCAGTAGACAGGCCCGACCGTCCAATTCACGGCCACCCGCGGCGACGGCAATATCGGCCGTCTGCGAATTCCGGCCTCCCCGTTGGACCGTCAAATCATCCGCCCACCGTCGTCACACTGCTCCAATCCCATTCGTGAAGCTCGGGTGTCTCGGATCACTCGTATTACTACATCTTGAATCACTTAACCACCCACCGACGACCACCACACCTCGAAGTCAGGCCCACGACCTACTCAGCTTACCCGCGCTTACCTCCCACGCCCACAAACGGCCAAGTGCCTGCAACTTTGTACGCGGCTGTCTCCCTTGTCGGCGTTCGCATGATGGGAAATGTCGACCCCTACGTCCTCTGCCATAAAATCCATGGATGCTGGCCGTCGCGAAGATGGCCAGGCACCACCACCACCACCACTGCCGCCCCCGGCCCCCGTTTCTGAACCTCGTCTCTCGACCCCCCTCAGCCGTGAAGGCTCCTCGACTGCCCAGAAGTCACCTGGGGGTTCAGAATCTCAAGGTACGTAAAGATATGCGGATCTGCCACGCACTGGAGCCACCGAGGGGGCCCTTAGTTGTTCAAGATTGGGACAGGGCACTGTCATTGACCCTGTGTGGCGCACACGGTGGATGCTAATCGTTGTATAGGCAGCAGTTTTCCGACCTTTGCCAAGAAGACACCCACGAAGCTCGTCCGGAGTACAACGCCGAATGCAAAGGACGGCAAGGCCGACAAGCCCTCGCCAGTTGCCGTCCAATCTCCTGCCGCAATTGACCCGCTATCTCAAGTTCGTCGCCGCCGTTGACATGGCTGTGGGATAGCCTTTGGTTGCTGACCTTCCACAGCACATTCTGATGCGAACCAACACTGGCCATACTGTTCCTCCTCAGCTTCGCAAACGCCCCGATAGTCCGACTCAGGTTCCAGAGCAGCCAACGAAGCTTCCTGCGCATGCATTCGATGCCACCAAGGACAAAAAGTACGCACTCTTGAGTCCCTTCATTCATGCTAGTGGTACTGACCAATTGTAGAAAAGGGCCATCATTCCTAAGTCGATTGAGTATGCGAGGTGGACGAAGACGCGAAGACGACGAGGACTCTGTCTTCAGTGATCATCGAATAGATGGGACCAATGCCCAGGCGTTTGGTTCAGTCATTGGGTCCGGATACATACCCCACCATAAAGAACCTCCAAGGTACATCCGGGTCAAGGCACACAGCAAAAAGATCCGCGAGTTCAATCGCATGTTTCTTGCTCAGGAGCTGTTCATTCCACAGTCCGACACGAAAGACGACACGAATACGACGGCGACAGCATCAATCGACACTCGACGATCGAATACAAGCGGGGCTATTTGGGCAACGGAATTCAGCACTGATGGCAAATATTTTGCTGCTGCGGGAAAAGACCAAGTTGTAAGGGTATGGGCTGTAATAACGACGCACGAGGAGCGGCGTCGTCACGAAGAGGAGGAAAACGCAAATGGGGCTAGTGGAGAAAGGTTGAGTGCACCTGTCTTTCGAAGCAAGCCGATTCACGAGTTCCGAGGGCATACCGGTGAGGTACTAGATCTCAGTTGGAGCAAGAACAACTTTTTGTTGTCGTCGTCGATGGACAAGACTGTTCGTCTATGGCACATCAGCAGGAAAGAATGTCTCTGCACCTTCAAACACAAGGACTTTGTCACGTCGATAGCGTTTCACCCTACTGACGACCGATTCTTTCTTGCGGGATCCCTCGATTCGACACTGCGTCTCTGGAGTATTCCGGACAAAGCTGTGGCTTACTCTATCCAGTTATCTGATCTCATCACGGCTGTGGCGTTTTCGCCTGACGGAAAAACTGCCATAGCTGGAGGGCTCTCTGGCATGTGCATGTTCCACGACACGGAGGGTCTCAAACAGAACTCACAGTTGCATGTGCGATCATCGAGAGGCAAGAATGCCAAGGGCAGCAAGATTACTGGTATCAAGACGATGGTCATTGATGACGAAGTTAAGGTTTTGATCACATCCAACGACTCAAGAGTACGCATCTATAATCTGCGCGACAAGAGCCTGGAATCCAAGTTCAAGGGCTACGAAAACACTTGCAGTCAAATCCACGCCGACTTCAGCGACAACGGACAGTGGATAGTGTCTGGCAGCGAAGACAAGAGAACGTATATCTGGTCTGTGCATTCCGCAGAATCGGACAAGGAGAAGCCTTGCGAATACTTTGACGCGCACTCAGATCGAGTCTCAACAGCAATATTCGCGCCGACAAAATCGCGCCAGCTCCTTGGTGGCTCGGGGGATCCTCTATACGACCTCTGCAACCCTCCCCCGGTCACTCTAATGAGTCTCGAGGAGTCCATTGCCAGCCAAGCAGGTAACTCGGATGACGAAAAGCCTCAGATCAAGCAGCAGAAGATCAAAAGACCGGAAGAATCTCCCGCTTACATCGAGAAGTCGAAACATTTTGATGGGCAAATTCTTGTCACCACGGACCAATCTGGGGGCATCAAGGTCTTCCGCCAGGACTGCGCATACATCAAACGCCGCCATGAGAACTGGGAAACAGGTTCTACATTCTCCCGCCGCATGGGAGGAAGCATTGTTGGACGCAGCGGAAGTGTAGCAACGCGCACAAGTGTCGGTAGCCAATCGCGCTCACGCCGGGGCTCGGTTTCCCGCTTGGCAGCCCCTGGTGGTGGTGCTCAGCTGAGCTCCGACATCAATACTTGGCGACACGGAATTGAAAGTGGACGCCCGAGCTCCATGATCATTACAGCATCTCAAAGCCCCCGCTCTCTATCGCCTAACAAGGCGTCACGGACGCCAATTAACAACAGTGCATCCAACCTTGCATCAGAAGCGCGAAAACAACCATACAGTGGATCATCACCACCGGCACGTCCGCAACTCCCAGCTAGTCCCACATCGAGCCGGGCTTCCCGCGACCGGGCTCCGTCCATTCCTCCGACCCCGAGTTTCTCTTTTCTATCCGCCGATGACGACGAAAGCGACGAGCTCCGACTTGATCCAGCGGGCGCCAGCTATTCTTTCTGGAATCTCAATCGATGGCGAGGGATATCATCCTTGCGATCATCGGTTTCCTTTAGTAATGTCAACACATCGCAATCGCAGGTTGGCCAGGGGCGAAACAGCATGAGCACAGCAGACACGATGCAAACGTCGGCTAGTAATGGAACTAAAGCCTCCCGCCGCAAGAGTTTAGGTGCGGGCATATACGATTTGGCCGTGCAAGAGGAGCACAAAGGCACAACGAAGAGCATTGAGGATGCTGCTGATAAAGCTGAGGTAGATGAACATTTACTACAGCCAGATAATTCGCGGATCGGGAATCGTCTTCGGAACTCGGTTGTCAGCCGTCTAAGCTCCGAGTATACCAGCGAAGACGGCGAACAAATGACTTGTCAAAAATGTGCGAGCAAGGATTTCAAAGCGAAGAGAGTTGGTGGCAGACAACGCCTGATCTGTGTCAAGTGTGGTAAGCTTGCCGATGACGGCAGGTAGGAACGAACAGGCAGATACATGAGCGGAGTTTTGTCTGAGGACAGAAGGTTGTTGGGATTTGATTTGAACTTCACATTTTCTTCTTTTCGACAGCGATGGATTTGACCGGTTGGGCACGATACGACGAGGCGCATCTATCATGATCAAGAACTACAGATACCCCACACAATAACGGCTGCGAAGAGATGATCAAGGACGGCGGCATATATCTCCATTTCTTTTACTATCTTTTCATACAGACAGACTAGACAGCCCAAGGATATCGGTTGGGGTAGCATTTTCTGGGTGGCCAAACAAAGCAACAAAGCGGCGTAAATGAGGGATGAGGGGCATGAAAAGTTTGGAGAGTTACAATGAAACAAAATTGATGTTTTTTCTGCTACGCTACAACCAAAAGTTTACCCCGTCCTCCAAATCCTATGTGCACAGCGGCGCGACAGCCGCGGTGTGAGACTCGGCTGGAAATGATTAGAAACGCGACGGCGGCAATCACCCCCTCAAGGACATTTTCCAGTCCGATCTCGGGCCCGTATTGCCGCCGAGGGTGTAGCCGCCAGAGACAGTGGAACCATCATCAGGCTTGGCGTCCTTCTCGGCGGCTGCGGCGGCTTCCTTCTTCTTCTTCTCGGCCTCGGCCTTCTTTGCGGCCGCCTCGGCGGTTCTCTTCTTGGCCAGCCCACCCAGCTCCTGGACGGTGGTCTGCAGGCTCCTGGGATCGGCGCCGCGGATAACGCTCCGTCCGCCGTTGTAGGGCTGGCCGTTCTCAAAGAACATGAAGGTCGGCATCGCGGTCACGCCATAGCGTCGGGCGATATCTTGGGCGGAGTCGACGTTCACTTTTACAAAGACGAGGGAGCCCGGCTGGCCGTGAGTGTTTGAGAAGGATTCGTATATCGGCTTGATGGCGTGGCATGGGCCGCACCAGTCTGCGTAGAAGTCGGCAACAAGGTATGTGTTTGATGAGAGGAGGTTTGTGAACTCTGTGAGCGTTGTGGCGTGAAGGACGACCATTTTGGCGGGTGAATGTTGTAAGTGTTGTGTGTTGCGGAATGAGATGAAAGCTGAATGTCACTATGTATGGTAAAGTAATTGAGATGACGTCGTCGGTAAATCCGTAGCGTTGTGTCTTCGTCAAGCGGTTAGTATATATTGAGGATGCGGCAGTTTGGCTTATATGGCGAAAGGCTCACTTGGACTTGCTAGAGTGAGGGCATGAGTGAGGGCATGAGTGAGAGTAAGAGTGAATGTGAGTGAGGGCATTCGTCAGCGACGGCAGTGATCTCGTCAGCTTCTCTTTCCAGCGGTAAATGTGGGGTCGGCGGCCGAGGAACCTTCCAGGTGCTCCGGAGCACATTTGAGGGAACACTAATTTCGGTCATTGGCTGCGCCCCGCGCTGTCATCTCCAACTAAGTCCAGTCGAGAACTCCACAGCCGTCGCTGCAAGCAATTTGTCACTATCGCGTCTCTTGCATCTTACACACTACCTTACACCTGGCAGCTTGCTCATTGGATCGACCTCTGACTCTCCTAGGTCGGCCTGCTGCATGTGCTCCAGATCGCTGGCCCATCTGTCTAGCAATGCAGGCCGCCGAATCGGTATCTTCTGCATGGTTTCCGAGTCACTGGATCCTCATGACTTTCTGTTTCTCCTAACTGATGTTTCGTTATCGTTGCTGACTACTTCGTCAGTGCTCAAAGGGCTTTAATCCGTGTGAGCAATTTTCTACGGGTATAGCTCCTATTATGAGATTGCTGAGAACGTTCGTCATTTTGTTTCTCACTCTTCATTGCGATCGATCTTCCCCATCATTCACACTCAACGCCGTCGTACCTTATGGTCTCGCCATGCTCTATATGCTACTGTCGGCCTCTCTGTCATTGGAACCGACATCAAACTTAATGAGCTCTGCCGTATTGACGCTCATTTGCGAGATGACTTCGCCGTACTATATACTCTTCCGGGCTAGAGGACACCGAGTTCTGACGTCTCATATCTCTTTTAACCAGCAAGCGCCCATAGTGTCGAGCCCAGTTGAGAATCCCGTCTTGGCACTCCGTGTATATGTGAGGGAAAATCACGATCTCGCGAAACGCCGGCCGGCCATCGTCGAGTGACGGCAACACACGGTACCTGAAGGATTACCAACACCCTCGGCTCTCATAATAGAATGTTTGTCTGCCCTCGGCGGCTTTTTTGGACAAAATGTCTGGGATCATCGAGTCCATTAACCAACAACCCCTCATTCACCCTTTGTCATTGCGTCAGATGACCCCATCAGGTGTCTCGCAAAGTCGCAATCCCCCAGACCTCAAAGCGCCCGTCGCCCCCTTACTCCCAACTCGATCCACGGCTCTCGCCGCCCCTCCAAGTTAGTCTTTCACACCTTCACGGCCGTCGCCGGCGCCTAGTTGAGCGCGAAAGGCTCGGGGGATAGGTACCATGTATCTCTCCAGGGATGTCGGGGATATCTCATGTGGTGTCGGCCATCTTGGGTCTAGTCTTGTACTGACCCTGCCGGCTCTCTGACCTTATCGAGTTGATCTTTCCCCTAGAAGACCAGGCTGCCTTCAAAAGGCTCGAAGCGCCTTGAGCTGACAGCCAACCCTTATTCAGAAACAAGTGAGATGTGTATATTCTAGCCTGATATGGCCCCCACCCTCCACGGCTCGACGTTGAGTTGAGCCTCAGGGGTATGAACTCTCCTTGTCCTGGGGTTTTGGGGTCGCCAGGAACCATTATTACATGACACCAAGCGCTAGACATGAGCGTCTCGCCCGGCATGAAGTGGCATCGATTGATGTTAGCCTGTGGCTGGCTTCCCTTGGCTCATCTTCGAAGCGACTACAGGGTATTGAATTCCGAGTCTCGGGGGCGGTATGTATCATGTCGAGGGGAACGATCGTCTAAGTGACGATGTTGTCAAGAAGACCGTTGGAAAGGCCGCGATATCGATGAAGGTGGCGTCTATGAGTCGTAAGAAGCTCATTCGCGAGCTCAATAAGCGATAGACATGATCAGACCCGCTCAAGACTGGGTGGATCTCACCTGGTTATCACTTGAGACGTAGGATATAAGACATGTTCCCTTGATTCTCGAGTGAGGGCTCGTAGATAGCAAGCACTTCCTTTTTCTTACACCAAACCCGAAGCTCCCATATCGTCGTTGTATACAATCTCTTCCAAAATGTCCAGTTACCAGGTCCTCAATTTTGGCTTTGAGCTCGAGTTATCTCTCAATAGCAGTAAGAAGCACAAGAATTGGCTATCCATGGCCCATGACACCAGCAGTCGCTTAGCCAAGAAAGGTGTCAGCAATCATGTTAAGGAAAAGGTGGATGGGAACTACCGCAAGTGGTCCATAGTTCAGGAGATTACGATCCCTCAGAATCCTGCCAAGAACAACTGTCAGTATATCAAGTCACGTAACAAACCCTGAGTTCTGACGCTGAGACGGCTCAGGGGCACTTGAGCTAGTTTCCCCCGTCTTCAACCTCGAGTCTCAGTGGCTATCAGATGCAGACAACATCTTCTCCGCCGTCCAGAAGCACTCGTCCGTTCAGATGCTTCCGCAGTGCAGCACTCATGTACACGTCAGCCAGGCAGATCGGGAGTTCTCATCGTTCCAGCTGGCCTCTTTGGGCAAGGCAATCCTGACATATGAGCCTTGCTTCGATGCCCTCGTCCCGAAGGATAGAGCTTCCGCCTACTGGTGCCAGAGCAACCGCCGAAACCCGGTGCTATCTCGGTGTCAGACCCTCGAAGACTGTCTCGATGCCCTTGATGTCGCGTCCCAACGAGGGACTACCGCCGTCGTAGAAACAATGTGCCTCTTCCCGGCATCCAGTGCGTACGGAAGAGCACATGGGAGGAAGAGAGATTTCGTTCACGGAAAAGTCTACAAGTGGAACTTTGCCCGCTTGCTCGGACACGATAGCAGCCGCACTATTGAGTTCCGGCAGCCTTCGGGTAGCACTTGCATGGAAGATGCCATCGGCTGGGTTCTGTTGACGCTGACATTCGTCGCTGGCGCAACTGGAGGTGGCAACTGTATCGGCTCGTTGGAGAGTGGCAGTGATGACCGGCTGGAGTTCTGGCAGCTTCTGTGCCACGGCGCTGGAGTTATTGGGCTTGACCCCTTTCTACTTGATGTCTTGAGCGGATTCATCGGTCGTGCAGCAGTTTGATCGAGTAGACGCCGTCGATCACATACGAGCTCACTCTTTCCTACTGCCCCTCAAGTTGGCTTCTTTCATCCTCCGCTTGGTAGTTTGGTTCTTGGGAAAAGAATAATAGCCAGGGAGGTATATTATATCATTCAGCCACTTCGGCTCTCAATCGTCTCAAATGCTGGTTGTGATGATGGAAGTTTCAACCGTTGCCAAATGAATATAGCGTTGGTCTCGGCATTCCGGCAACCACTTCAGGCCCGGAAGAGTTCCCTCCGGTAAAACTCTCCTTCAAGCCAGTACGCTGTACAACGTGATGTACTTTGAGCGCTACTCTCATCTCGGTTCCGAAAATCAATCGCATTGCAACGTCATGTTCTGTAGTTAATCTATTCGGAACGCCGCTCCCTCGACGAGTTTGGTCAAATATAGCCTTTACTACCGCCGCCCACAGAACACATTGCACGACTCCCGGAGCTCTCAGGGCAGGAGCCAAAGATGGACCATAACGAGAGGAGCATCTAGTTCCGTCGGGGCTCTTCAGCTGACAGGCTTTTGGGATTGGATGCAACGTGAGGAGAAGCCTATTTGGCCTTTCTCGAGTATATAACCATACACACTTGGCATCCACTTCAGTCGTTCGCCAAGCTGTCAACAGATCTTGTTGCAACCACCAAAGGCTTGGTTCGCATTCTTTTGAACTCTTTCTAGATGAGCTTGCTACGTGTCCTGGCCAGCGGCCTAACAGCAATGTTGATCGTCAGTCCTGTGGTAGCGCAGACAACAGTACCAGCTTGGGGACAATGTAATTCATGATAGCCTCACCTGATCATGCTGAAACCAGTATCTAACACAGTCATAGGTGGTGGCAACGGCTGGACTGGAGCCACAAGCTGTACTAGCGGCTACACCTGCTCAGTTCTGAAGTAGATATATCATTCTAACGTAACAATTTATCCGCTGATCTTTGGAACAGCCCCTATTACTCCCAATGTATTCCAGGATCCAGCACTCCAACAACTGCATCCAGCAGACCTGTCTCAACCTCGACCACCCCTATCGCAACGGCCACGAACACCCGTACGACTTCTCGCGCAACTACCACTCTTGCGACCGTGACCACCACGGCTGCAGGTGGCGGCGGGTCCGTTCCTACAACTCTCGTGTCTGGATGGTCTTGGATCCGTGCCGTGGCCTCGCCCAACTTCCACAGCTACCTCCAGGCTAAGCCCACCGGCACGCCCAGCAAAGCCTACCTCGATTCACCCAGCAGCGCAGGTCAGTTCAAAGTTGAGGACGGCCAACTCGTACATCTGACTGGATCATCGCCGCTTTACCTTAATGTCGAGAACCCGACAGACAAGACACAGAGAAAGCTAGAAACGTGGTTTAGTGCAAGCAAGGGCACATATGGAACTTTTGCTTTCCAGGGTGACACGCTTACGTGGAGCACGCCCGACATCAACAGGCCCAACGTGGCTGCATGGCTTGTTTGCGAGAACCAAGAGGTGTTTATCAACACGGGGGCATATCTTTATCAGACGCCTACTGGCTGTTTTGATCAGACTGTGAGTGAAACCCTAGACCCTTACAAGATAGTGTTACGAAACTAATCAGAACTAGATTCATTCCTACGGAGGTTCGACCGCAGACCTCTAGTATTACCAAGATATGCCCCCTAAGTAAAAAGCTTGACATTCAAATACACTATCCTCCCTGTAGTGCCTCAACAAGCTACACTGCAATTACTCCATGCTCCCTTCCATCTCTCTCTTGCCTCCGGGGTTGTTCATCACCATGGTAGTCTCCAAGGTGAATTTGTGCGGCCCCACATAGCTCTGTGATTTGCTTCCATCTGCGAGTGTAGTGTCCCTGAAATACGACTCGTCGAGGTGTATCCCGCCCAGCAACGAAGCATGACTAGTAAAAGCCCACCAAACACTGAAATGCATCCCTGTCCCCATCGGTTCCAGACTCCATGTAATGGAGTTGATCTCAATGCAGACCACCTTGTCGACCGTCGGTACTTTGGGGCCAGTGTCCGTGTTGATGGTGCAGTTGGCGAAGTCGGCGCCGGGGGTTGGCTGAACCGAGAATATGACACTATTTCGGTTCGTGTTAGCAATGAGTTCTGTAACGATATGTCCCTCGCTATCTCGTAGGTAGTCTAGCTTACAAGTTTCTTGTGCTTGGCGGAAGACTCCCCGCGAAGAACCTGTCGACTTCGAAGACTGCTGCAGTGCGTGCGGCGTGTTTACCAGGGGTAGAAGGGGCAACAAGTGCCAGATGGCAGAGAAGCGCCAGACTTGCAAGATACCGCATGTTGAAGAGAATTTAATGATCTAGTGGTATTGGCTTACTTTTCGACTCATGTCTCTCAGGGTTGTCAATTGAAATGGCGACGTATCGTCTTTATTTATGTCAAAGGCGCTCGGTCTCGCGCCCCTTGTCTTTGGTAACACTGAGCAACATTCGACAATCACGAAAACCTCAAAGGATTACCCGAAGATTCAACCGCTCTTGGATACTCGAATGGGGATCTCAAAAAGAAGCCCTCCATCTCGTAACCAGAATCCAATATGACACCTGAAATAGACACTTTCATGTGACAAACGGGTCATACCTAGGGAAGCAAACATCGAGCATACTGCGTTATACGAGAGAACTCAGGGCTTTGTGTAACAAAATATACGACTTTTGATTCCTACCAATCGGCTCCTCATCCGTGTGAGCGCCCAAGCCATGCAGAGTTCTTCAGATCCGAGTATAGCAACAAAACGGACACGCCAAAAAGTCATCCATTATGAACAAACAAAGTTGGTATCCCATTAACTTTTGACTAACCATCCGTCTAAACGCTAATCGTACGGAAAACACTGAACTCGTCACCAGTAGCCATCAAGCTACCAGTAATCTGGGGATGCCAGTGGAGCTCCTTGACATTGGACAGGTAGTGGACGAACAACAGCTGAGGCGGCACATCCTTGACGCCGCCGGTGTCCTTGCTCTCTTCGTCGTCCAGCTCGACTGCCAAGTCCCACAGGGTGACGGTGTTGTCGCCCGCCGCAACAGCAATAATACTGTCGTCTGTGGGGTGCCACTCAATACTCGTGACCTGCTCCTTGTGGTAGTTGAAGCTGGCAATCGGCGAGGGCTTATCGGAAACAGAGGTAGAGCTCTGCTTCCACTGGCGCAGATCCCAGACGGCGAATTCGCCATCGTCGGCACCGGAGGCAAGCAGATGCGTCGTGAGGGGTGACCACGACATGACGTTGACATCGTGGTTGCTGACCTGCATTGAAAGAGCGGGCTTTCTGCTCTTGCTACGGACGTCCCAAACGCGGATTGTGCCGTCGCTCGAGGCGGATGAGAAGACAGACTGTTCCGAGGGACTCCATTGAATTTCCTCAACGCTGCTGGTGTGACCCTGGAATGGCCGGGTGTCGGTGACGAAACCGCCGCCGTCGGTGCGGGTTGTGACGTAAATGAGACCATCGTTGTCACCAGTGAGGAGCTTTCCACTGGGAACAAGGGGGGACCAGTCAAGAGCGTAGCCCTCTGCCTTGTGGGCGCGAATAGTCGATACTGGCTTGTTTTGCTGCGCGGAGATGACGGTGCCCGGGTTATCGAAGGAGAAGATGTGAGGAGTGATATCATGAATGAAGATGCTGGATGACTCGGTCATGGTGGCTGTGAGGGTGGTGGGAGGTCTGGAAGCATCCTGCGAGGGGATCTGGTGGGCGCGGATTCGGTTTGTGGTCGAGTTCAAGGGAATCGCCTTGTGCTCGAGAATGGGCTCGGCGTCCTCGTCGCCATCTTCGTCTTCATCGTCAGAGTCCTCGTCGTCCTTCTCCGTACGGCTCAGACCGCTGAACTTCATAACCATCAGCTGGTTCTCGCCAGCCCTGGCGTTCTCTGCTTGTGTACCGGCCACGGTGTACATGGTGGCGGGGTAGACCTTGCGGTTGTCACCGAGGCTGTCGCGGAGTATATCGAAAGACAGACAGGGCCATGGTGTGCTCAGGTTGTGCAGCATTTCGTAGGTAGACACGTCGGGCGCGAGTGTCTGTCCAGCCTCAAGCTTGTTTCGTCCGACGATGAAAGTGCCCTGATCGACGGCAGCTAAGCCGGTCAGCTAAGTTCTGAGTCGCGAGGCTGTTGCTTTCATACCTTCCCTCTCCTCGGCCTCTCTCTCTGCGTCAGGTCGTCCATCAACACCGGCCTCCATGATTTCGTCCTCCTCGAACTCATCCTCGAATTCGTCCTCGAACTCGCCCATGTCGGGGGCCTTCTCGTCAATCTCCATTCCCTCAGGGCGGTCGCCACCCTTGAGGGGGGCGTCCCCCATTTCGACATCAGCAGAGCGTTTCGACATGATTTTTTGCCGTTTTTGGAAGCCAACTTGGAAGTGGTGGTTGGGATTCTGCTCTTCTCGAAGCCGGACTGCGACCTGCAAAATGCTAGTGCCGCAGAAAAAAAAATTAAGGCCCCGCGATTTGTGGCGGCACCGGTACCCCGCGTGGCGGTGTCATGGAATCGATCTGTTGTTGGGGCCGTTTAAGTGTGGCTTGCCTCCAAGTCTGAAACACGTGACCGCGTACGTTCCTCGCGTCACCCGCCATTCCACAGCTTCCAGGCGTATCCCCGTCCCGTCGGTGTTGATTGCCCCGCCAAATCGAATGACCTTGAACACCAGACGATTCCAGGCTTAATTGTCGCTCGCTTTCCGACCTGGCGATCTGCGCCAACGTCGTCCCACTCAACGATGCCTTCTAGAGGATCACCGGCACAATGGCGCCGCAGCAGAACACCTTCGCCGTCATTCCAGACGCCCCCGGGCGCGTCGGTGGCCCCGCGAACAGGCCGCCGATGACATCGAAGCAGGCTCAGAAGCTGTACAAGCAGGCGAACAAGGAACCGAAACGATCCAAGGCCGAACAACGGAAATGGGAGAAGGAGAAACAAGAGGAGATTCGCAAGGAACTGGAAAAGGAGCGCGCAGCAGTCAAGGCCAAGGCAGCGAGAGAACGAAAAAAGGCCAAGGAAGAGGAGGCCCGAGAGAACAGGCGAAGAGCCGGGCAGCCTTTGTTTGACTGTCGACCAAGTCAAGACACGATCGCGCGATTCGTCCGAGGAAATGGTACACACAAGAAGAGAGATTCGTCCGGAGAACCGATACCAAAACCCGAGGCTACCCCTGCCGCCCTGGCCGATATCAAGCCGGATATCTTGGCGTCAACCGCGGCTTCCAAGTCTCCTCTTCAAATTGAATCGTCAGAAGAGAAAAAACCCCCAATTGACTCCATGGTACCAGCTCTTCGTCCTTTACAGAGACAAAATTCAGCCATGTCACCTGCTCAAAGCGCAATTACAAGTGAAAGACAACCTTCGGCTGAAGGGGTCGCACCGAAGCCAACAGACAGAGATACTCTCCCACAACAGCCCCTGAAGCCGCTATTCACGGCGCCAGAAAAGGCCCCAGCAGGAATGGCTCCCATGGGGCCTCCTCCACGACCTGCTGTGAAAGCCAAATCAAGGCCTTTCATGATGCCGAAAGCGACATTGCCAACCCATCAGCCACCTCGGCACAAAATCTTCAAGCAAAAGCCCTCTACCCATCCTTCTGTCCAGCTGAAAACAGAGGTCCCACCACCAAAAGAGTTGCCATTTGCAAAGGCTGCACCGTCAAAGTCATCAACAGCGATGCCTCCGCCTCCAATACCATCACAGAAGCCCAAAATAGAGGTTGTAGCAGACGAAGCCCCGACGGATATGGCCATACCAGCAATTGCACCGTCACCAGTAGTCCAATCGAAACAAATGCTACCGCCACCAAGGCCATCAATATCGCAGATGCCTCCACCAAGCACCCAAGCAATCGTGCAAGATTGTTTCGATGACTTCTTCCCAACAGCCTCACAACTTGCTGTAGAGCTTGAAGAGGATTTCGATGCAGTTGAAACTGCACTGCCTTCACGTTTGAGTACTTCCATACCAAGCAAAGCTCCTACTCAGGGGTCTACCGAACCTCTCACCCGACCCAAAGAGACAAGGAATCTGGCGAATGAAAGAAACTTACCACCAGCCAAGAGCAACTTCCCGGCCATACAAAACCATGAAAGCAACTTGAGTTCACGGCATAAACAGCTGGCCAGCCTAGGGGCACAAGTCCATGCCATACAAGCACCAACTCCTATAACGAACAGACCCCAGAACCGGCATGGGTTGGCTCAAAAGGAACAGATACAGAATCCACAGCAGCACAACAATACGATGCCTCAAGTGGCTTCTGGCCAAAAATCGATCACGAATGGTTCGGTTGCAGCAGCAGCACAAAGTACGCCTCCAGTTAAGCGGCTTGGTGCTCCTCCACTTCTTGCGCCTAGCCGGTTTCCCAACCGCAGCATCCTTCAGGAAGTCAGCAGCAACCACCGACCTACACCAAAACCTACAGTTGCAAAAGCTTTGGCTGTTTTCGACGACTTCTTTCCCTTGATCTGCACTCAAGACCTGATGATGTCCTCTCAGGAGGTGCTGGATATAGAGTCCCCGGCCAAAGCAATGACGCAGTCATCGTCAGGAGGACCGGTAGCAAACCTTGCCTCGCCACTCACTGAGATGGATTTGGGGTCTATAGATTGGGATGATGACTTGGATGATTTTTAATTTGATACATGCATACACGGAAAGGATGAAACAAACAGGCGCTAGATTCAGACCTGAGCATCACAGCACGTCAACGATTAGCAATAGGAAGGCACTTCTGGAATTCTATACCCACAAAGACACACGAGCATGAGCATGTCGGTTGCTTCATTAATAGACAAAAGAACTTTCCTCTTTTCGTTAGTAGCGGATATCAGACCCAATAGAGGGGCTCCGAACGATGGTTACCAGGAGCAACTCAATACTATTCTTCACGAGAAGACTCTATACAGGGGGTTGTTTGCGCTCCCTGCCGCTAGAACTATGTGCTCGTGTCCTTGATCATGTACAGCGCGTGCCGCTACAAGGAAAATCATCCGCTGAGAGACCTTGTCCCTCTCACTGGACTCCTCAAATATCAAGCCCCTCAACTGAAGGGAGAAAGCAAACCTATACCGTGACCATGCGAATCTTTGACTGATCATGCGATGCCGTCCCACCCCCAAACGCCGAGCTAATGCCACCCATGTAACCGGATGACGCCAATTCTCATTCGTCTCTTTGAAAGACCGACTGTCCATCACTCTATGCCGCAGCTCAAAGGTAGATTCCAACCCAGGCCGTCTTGTTCGTAGCCTGCGTTTCGCAACCGTCGACTGCACAGGTAAGTTTGCTTTCATCGTCGCGCCCAAATCCGGTATTCGGGCGCTTAGCTACCGGCTTGCGGTTCTCGTAGCAGTCTTCGCAGTAAACCTAGTACTGCATCAGTAAAGTGACTAGTGCGCAATGTGATGTGGATCCTTACATGTCCGCAACCTTTCAGGGCCCAGAAGTGATGTTCGCTGCGCTGGCGCTTATTGCCCTTCCGCGCAGGTTGCTTCCCGTTGACAGGCACGTCAGGGTCGTAAGCCAGCTCCTCGTTGCATGCTGGACATATCACGACCAGATCAGAGGCGGTGTCCCTCGTATATCCAGGTCTAGGGGGAGGCGGAGCTTGGTGGACTGGCTTTGGTGATTCAGCGCGTTGATCAAAAGCACCGTGTTCGTATTGAAGTTGAATGTTTCCGAGAGGGTTGTTCAAATCTCCTCCTTGATTAATACGATTGTGCAACATGCCGAGCAGCTGTACCTCGTCTTCAGGACCAGGGACGAGTCTGAAAGGATACAGATGGCGCCTTAATCCGGCTGCTAGCCCACTGAATGCACTTCCATTCGGGTTCAGCATAAATCCGAAGGGCTGTCGACTGCGATCGCGCTGACGAGGGGGTGGTGGAGGTGGCGGTACATGCGTACGTCTTCGCGGAACTTCGGGTGAGTCGTCGGTAAGGTCGATGACAGGCGGTGCGTTGCTGGCGAGAATGCTACTGTCACTCCGCGTGAAAGACGGCGGGTTCCTGCCTTGGGAATGTTGCCTTCTGGGATTCATCGGAGGTCGAGGCGCGTGTCTCTGGATAGGGCTGTCGGGTTCGTTGGTCAAGTCGATGACATCGGCAGGGCCGTTTTGATTGTTTTGAGGTCTCCTCTCGTTTCTACCCTGTTCGAAGTACAGCTCCAGATCCACAAGAACATCGCCAGAGCCATTGTGACGGGCCGCGCCGCCTCCAAGTTGCCCTCGCGTGCCTTCATCTCGGCCACCTGGGGGTGCCATCCTTTGTTCGCGGAGCTGTGGCAACTGGTCCATTTCGGCGAGAAGCGCAAGTTCAAGTTCGTCGGCAAGATCGGGAGAGAAAGGGTCAGAGTCGTTAAATAGCGGATCGTGAGGGTCAATCTCGAGCGACATCAAGGACTCTGAATCGGACTCTGCAAGCTGTGACTGCGACTGTGAATCAGACTCGGGGTCCCAATCCACCTGCGCATCGGCTTCGGAGTCGAATATGCTCGAGCGGTGATCGACCACGTCGGAGGAGGATTCGGGAATGTAGCCTTGGTAGGCGGCCTCGATGTCACTATCGTCGTAAATTCCTTGTTCGGGCAAGAGAGACGCAACTGAAGGCGAGCTTGGGATAATCGTAGAGAGCCGACTTGGAGAAGACGCCGTCGATGGAGAAGCTGGTATTGAGGGAGAAAGCGGAATCGGAGAGAGCCGAGCCGAAGAAGACGCCGTCGATGGAGAAGATGGTGGAGAAACTGAGCTCATATTATGTTTATCGAGCCAATATGGGTTGGCGCTGGAGAAATAATTAGCTTAAGTCCGGCAGTTCCAGTCAGCATGTGGCCACGCACAAACCGTCTGTTCCTCGGGTAGGTGTCTTGCGTGCGAGAGGAGAATCGTGGTCGTGAGCGTCGGGTCGTGTCGGGAGTCGTAAAGTAAAAGTAAATCTCCTACGACGGGCGCAAAGGTGAAGCGACCATCCCGTGGAAGCTGTTGATGTGATCGAGATGTGGAAGAAGGAAGAAAATCCGAGGGCGCTTCAGAGCACAAGGAAGAGGCGAGGTCCTTGGACTTGCCCGTCGTGGTTGTGGTGTTGTTAGGTTGGTGGCGGTTAAAGGTTAAGTGCGGTTCTAGGCCATTCAGCGGAAAGAGCGACGGGTGGTTTGGCGCTTCAGCCTTAGATAAGCTCGCACAGCGCAGGCCCTGCAGGGGGCGACACCGCCGATAAGGCAGGAGCCCCTCTGGACTTTCAGGGTAAGGTGAGGTAATTGCGGCGGAATATTTGCTAAGCGACGGTGCCCTGCATTCCCAAAGGTACCTATTGTCTCCATGCAAGGTAGATGGCAACATGTCCCTAGAATGATTATGTCATAGTCCCGAAAAGGGTCAGAAAGGTCGCGGTGCACCTTTTGCCTCAGCACACTGTGAATAACCAATTACCTCAAGGTAACTCAAGGCATCTTCAACAGAAGTCGGCAACCCAAGTAGTCTTCCACTTGATTGATATCAGGCGCCGATAGTTATTTGTTCGTTCGCGCTTTTCCTACAACACCAGAGTACTTCATACCTTGTGAGCCCAAGACTTCGGATATCATTTTAGATGAGACTCTCCTGTCCCGATTACTTATAATACAATCGCAAGACATGCATATCTGCTTATTCCTGCTTGACTCCAAACACTGAAACGACGCCCTCCTCGTTGACGGAAACCAACTGCTTGGCCCCGGCACCCCACTGGACCGACAATGCAGCCACCGACGTTCTGAGGGGCTCTGACCATTTTTTGGAACTCTTGGTGTACTGTTGGACAGTAATGCCGCCGGCACCCGCGGTTGCCAGGTACTGTCCGCTGTAGTCCCAAGCAAGTGACTGCACTGGTCCCCCGGTCTCTAGTGTCTTGACCTTTGCAGCATCTCCCTCCTTGCGCAAATCGAAGATGGTTACTGTGCTCTGGCCCTTGGCTGTCGCTGCAAGCCAGAAGCCGTTTTCTGAGAAGGTCAGGGCCTCGACAGGCGCGCCAAGGTCGAACGCAGCCGCAACCTCCAATGTCGTTGTCATGAAGAGCTTGATCTCGCCTGTGACGGTTCCGGCCGCGAAGAGGTGTCCATCGGGGTGGAAGGCAGAGGATGTCAGGGCTGCGCGGGTTAGCAAATGTGTTAGGAGTGCTGGCAAGCGTTGGTAACTTACAAGAGTCGGCGTAGGCACGGCTGATCTTCTTGAGAGTGTTAAGATCGTACAAGACAATGCTCTTGTCCGAGCCAACGGATGCGAGGAGGTCGCCGGTGGGATGAAGGCTCAAGGATGTTGCGGGGCCTGCGTGTTCAGAGATTGACGCAACTTCGCTACCACTCTCGAAGACCTTCACTGATCCCTTGCTCGTGGCAAAGATGAGCTTGCTACCAGTCCACACAGAGTCAATGACCGGCTCGTTGACCGCGACTTGGCGTTCGACCTGGTCTGCCTCAAGGGAGTATATCGCAGCATCTCCTCCACGACCACTGATGGCCGCATAGCCTCCTTCGGTTGCCAGCGACGAGGCATTCGAAACCGGTGTTGAAGTGGATGCCACAGTGGTCAACAGGGCAACCTCTTCGGACGTAGCCCAACCCTCGGGGACCGGACGCTTCTTGCGGCTCTTGGAGAGTCTATGACTTGTTAGTGAACCATTCTAGAGTTGCCCACGCTTGTGCCTTCTGAAGACTGACTCTTGGTGCTTTGCATTGACCTTGTCAACCCATTCCTCCGGAAGACCTTCGGCCGAATCAATAGCCATCGCATCCCCATTTGTGGCTCCAGCGCTGACGCTGACCTTGGAAAGCGCCTCTCTAGCCTCATCTCGCTCCTTGGACAGACGCGCAATCACTCTGACTGCGGCGTCGTGTTGGTACAAAGCTGTGGCAAGCTCCTCCCGTGTCCTCGCAAGCTGTTCTTTCAGGTTAAATGTTTCGAGAGCGAGCGCATCCCACTCGTTCTGGAATGTCGCAAGCAAGGCCGGAATCGAAGTGAGCGTTGGGGGGCGAGGTCGGACAACGTGGGACTGTGTCAAAGGAAGGAGGTCCTCGATCGTCAGGGCTTCACCAGTAACAGGTTCGGTTCCATTCTCCTCGATGTATTTCTCGATCAATCGCTTCTCGAACACGGTGCCTAGTTACAGTCAGCATTTTGGGGTTGACGCGACCAGGCGCAAAACACATACCAGACTTCTTTGAGGCGACGGGCTCCTGAGGAGCTTCTCCGGAAACTAAGAAAGCAGTAAGCAATTGCGCAAGACATTCCCGAAGATTTGAACCTACTGGCGCACAGCATTGTCTCGAATGTCGCGATATGAGCCGTCTCAAACTTCGTCCACGTCGACTTTTCCCTTCCAAAACAAAACTTCAGCCTTGCTGCACCTGCAGTTCCAAGGTAGTGTGGGTCTTCCTTCGCAGCTAGTGAGCACGAGCCACGTCATCACGTGTGAGCTTCTCTGGAACATCCCGTCATCGGCGCCTCCCGTCTTACCTTAGGAGGTTGACTTATCTTATCTCTATCTTATCGCAAGCATGAAGTGTCGCCGAGGTCTACCTCACCAAGCACCTTTCTTGCCTTAAATGCAGAGGTACCCTCGGTATTTGGTATTAAAGATTACGCTGGTCATGAACGGTCACCTATTCATCGACTCAACATAATTCAAAATCACAAATTTCAATTTGTTGTTCATCATGGCTTCCCTACCTGACGTCAATAGTCTTAACTCCCTTCCTGTGGAACAACAAACCAAGGTCCTGGATGCGCTCTTCGAGCCGAGCCCCGCGATTCACGCCTTTCTCCTGCCCTCTATTTCCGCAACATCTTTCCAGTCTTACGACGAGTTCATCAATCAAGCTCAAAAGATATTCGAGGCTCTTACGGCGGACTCTACACAAAAGGCACAGCTACACTCAATCATCGGCTCACACCCGCGTCTCGGGGCCAAGAAGGTTGAAAGTGCTCAGTCCGCTGCAGAGCAAGCACAGCTCCAGAGTGGAGACGCCACTGAACTGGCTGCTCTGAACGCCGAGTACGAGGCAAAATTCCCAGGCTTGCGTTACGTCGTCTTCGTCAACGGTAGAGGTCGGCCGGAAATCATGGAAAACATGCGTGCTCGCATCTCGCGTGGCGACTTGGCTCTTGAGGAACACGCCGCAATCCAGGCAAGTCGCACAATTGAACCTGGATCCTAGAGACAATCATTTAACAAGATAGCAGGCAATGTGTGATATTGCCAAAGATCGTGCAGCCAAGCTTCTAGCTGCTTCGGGATGAACGGCTCAGAGACACCTCAGAGATATCTGACGGGTCCAATTGTCCGCTTCATTTCCTAGAAAAGAATTTCCAACCCCCGTCTAAGCCTATAGCACAACTCAAATCTAGCTTGCTTATGAGAAAGTACCCAACACATTCCTCGATCCAATCACAACTTCGCGTTCTCATCCAGCAGCCTCAAAAGTCTGCCAACACGCTCTGCCTCACGGTAGCCACTGACGACTGCACCAGCCACGCTTCCACGGTTCTCCATCTCCGTGTGCTCGCCGGCAAATCCGAGTCTTCCATCCCAAACAGGTCTGCTCAGCTCCTTGAAGTCCAGCGGGCTTCGCTCCCCATTCTCTGAAATAATTGAAGGCGTGGTCGTTGCACCGCGGGAGAACTCGTCCGTCAACCAGTTGGTCAAGTTGGTTTCAATCGGCTCCGCAGGCTCGGATGACGGCTTGAAGCGGGAGACAAGAAATTTGTGGTAGGCAGCCGCAACTTCCTTCTGTCCGAAGCGGAGCAATGCAGTGGCGGGAGTTTCGGAAAGGTATGTCAGCAATGTTGGACTAGGGCTAGGGAGAGACGGCCCAGCGAAGTTGGCGCAGACCAGAGTCGACGCCTCGAAGATTTCGGCGGGAGTAGAGCTCTCTGTCACGGGCTTTGTAGATGTAGGCAGGAAAGTGTAGGATCCTGCCTTATCGGCCTCTGGCCACCAAGCCGACTGGTACTGAAGCAGAAGCTTCTCCAGGACACCGACGTGGGTGCCCTTGATTACCTCCTGTAGGCGCGGCGGTAGCGCAGGGCTGAAGGTGCTTTCAGGCAAGGTCTTAAGGGTCCCGAGCGGGATGGTAGAAATGGCCGTCTTTGCGGCAAACTTGTTGCCGTTGGCGTCGACAATCACAACTCCGTCTTGGCTCTGTGAGATACCAGTAATCTTTGTGCTCAGCTTCACTTCAGTGCCCTTGGCCTTGGCGTCATCAAGGACCTGGTTGACCAAGGACTCATAGCCTCCCTCAGGGGCGGCGTCAGAGCCGCCAAATGCGGTGGTAGTCTCCCATCCAGCCCACTTCAGAGAAGCTTTCTCGAGCTTGAGCCCTAGAGGAATCTCGAGGGAGCGAGCAAGGGCAGCTGCCAGCTCATTTTGAGATGAACCTGATGCGGGCTGCGTCGCTACCTGTGTCGGGTCGGCAGGGCTGGTTTGGTTGACGTCTGATGAAGGATCAGGGGATGCAGAAGCCGAGAAAAGAGCTGAGTTATCAGCCAGAAGAGCGGATGCGAGCGATGTTGATGGAGAGGGAGCTGGGTGAGGGAGCTTCAATGAAGCCTGAGCAGCACCAAGGGATGCCCGGAGGTTATCGGCGTTGGAACTCGAGAGACGGCCTGGTCTTGATCAATACTGACTGACATCGCGATATGGGCAAGAGTCTCACGCACCAGTTGGGGCGTAAATCACACCCTCGGCGGCCTTAGGCAAGTGAGCGGCCTACTCCATCTCATTAGCTTGTTACCTCTATTGTTCAATGACGTCCATGTCAAACTCACAACGCCAAAGTCTTGGGCAATGTATCTCGCGGGGTTCCCTTCTTTGTAGCCATGGATCCAGCTACATCCAACATCAATCTTGGCATCTCCCTTCACCCACGTACTCGCACGTCCTCCGATTCTGTCTCTAGCCTCGAGTATCAACACTTTGCGGCCCTTGCTGGCAAGCTCCCGGGCGGCAACGGCGCCAGACCAGCCGGCTCCGATCACGATTGTGTCCAAAATTTGATTGCTCATTGTTACAATATTGCGTGTAAACATGTGCTTGGATTTGAGAGTTGAACAAAATGTTGGGCAATGGGCCTGACAATGTCGTGCTTCAGTTGGCCTGGTTAAATCACTCCGCCCCCAGTGTCCCCGCCGTCGTCCCCAGGCCCAACGTCACGGCGGGGCCCGGGAAGATGTCCGACCGGGCCGACCATCGGAACTGGTTGGGGTTTCTTCTGCGTCGATTCCATTGTAGCACCGAGGATTGCTCTCATTCTTTGTAAGACCCCGCTATCAATACAAAATCCCTCGATACGAAGAACCCTCGACAAGAATCACATCTTCCAGCCTGATTCCAATGTTAGTTCCTCTTACTCTTCGGGCTTTCGGATGTTGAAATTCCGGGCGGAATCATGGACGGAATTGAAGGCAGCTTGAGGCATAGGCTTCCGGCAGGTAAGTATTGCCTTTGAGTGAGTCTTTTTGTTCATCTTGTTCACTTTCATCTATACGAAGGCTGAGGCTGTAGCTCAGCGCCTGCTTTATGGCGCCGTATTCAATCGCGCATGGTGCCCAATCCTCTCTTTCCTGCCAGGCCAACAATAACAGTGAGTGACCTGCTTACGGCGCTCATCTCATATGTCCTTAGACAGAGCCAACTGGCCATCCCGTGTCCTCAAAGATTTGGTCGAAAAGGTGCTCTTCGAATGTCGCCTACGTATTCGTAGGCCAAGTCTGGTTTTTGCTGCTTTCTTTTTGCTTTTTCCATCCCACCCCGCCCACTACAGTGCAAATAGCCGCTTTGCTTTTTGTCTTGGATTTGATATTCGACCAAGTCGGTTCTCCTTCACCCATCGTCCAACGGCACTACCTGCCGCCGACCCAAGAAATACCATCCAGCTCATCGAGATACTCTTCGTAGGAGTTGCCGTCGTCGTCAGTCTCACCGGTCTGTGCAGATCCTCCGAAAATGGCACCAAAGTCAGAGTACACATCTTCCAAATCGTCGTCGTCGGCCCACGCGTAGGAACACTCATGTGTTGATGTGGGAAAGGCCAGCAGCCCGTCATCCTCCATTTCGTCCAGCATTGTACTAGAAGGAGCTAAGACGGGTGACCGGGTTGGGTTTAACCTCGGCGATACAGGTTGTATTCGGGATGACTGGGGCGTCCATGGAGGCGATGGTTTTCTCTGCGCCTGGCCGGACAGGGCATTAGTTGGATGAGGAGTGCCTGGCGAGACCCCGGGCCGCATCAAAACAACCCTCGCTGGCGGTGGTTGCTGTCGGTGTTCTGGGTGTGCGGGCGACTGTGCAACAAACCTTGCTCCTGTGGCTAACTGCTGGCCGTGGTGAAGCACAGCTGCATTGGCAGCTGTCACGGCGATACCGATATCGCCACGCTGTGTCGCCTCATTACGAACACGCAGCCGGATTCTATTGAGTACTGCCGCTCTCAACATGATGGAGCTCTCTCGAAGTAGGCCTTGTTTACCGACATCGGGCGAGGTGGCCACGGCAGCGAGCTTCACGAAACGCTTGTCGCCTAGAGGACCGGCTTCACGGTTGATGATGTGTGTCGCGGGTAACGAGTAGGGCTGAGAGAGCCGACTTGTTATGAGATGAAGCCTCAAGCGACGCTTTTTACAACTCAGTCCGGCTGTGTATGGGCCGTCAACGTCGGACTCGGCTCTAGCACGCTTTACTCTGTTGAAAGATGAAGGTTGGCTCGAGAAGAGGAAGTTGGCCTTCTCCTGGCTGGTAGGGAACACGAAAGGTGATACCGTCGGCGGATTTGTTGGTGAAGAGGTGATTGGGTTCGTCTGGGCAGTTTCAGTGGATGTTGTTGCAAAAATCTTTGATTCATGCTCCGGGCCATGGGCATTCGCGGTAACCAAGGTAGTTCTGAGGATCGAAGCTGAAGGGCAGTTGGACTCATGCTTGGCACATCGTCTCAAAGCCTGTGGTGAGAAGAGATGAGGATCGATGTTGATACCGCCGTCATCTTCGCAAGCTGAAGTTCCGAGGCGCCACGTCTTGAAGGGTTCCAACGCATTGCGGTCCAACGAACCGACTTCAACCACCATCGTTATCTTGTTGTTTCTACTGATACCTCTCGTTCGGATGGAAGGAGACGACCACTCGCTTCTCCCGGGTGACAGAGTCGCGTTGGTAGAAAATAATGCTCGGAGAGCCGGTTCATATCCCACGGGCACTCCCACGCCCGATCTAACTACCGTCCGCTACCAACATGGAGGCCGGGTGACGTGACCCTACAGAGAATTAACAAGGTCCGTCGAAAGGTTAAAGCGGCATAAGAAAAGAACAAGATGCTAGAGTGGAGCAGCCAAGGTAGATGACGAGAAAGGGCCCTTACGCTAAGTGCGAGCGACCCTCCTAGCAGGATGCGTGACTGAGAGTGGGGAGAGCGGGAAAGGCGAAAAGGCTGATGCCGTCCGCAGCTGCAAGACAAGCACGAGACCCCGTCTTCTATTTATTGCTCTGCTCCGTACGTACTCCGTACTCCGTACACGTTTACCGTCAGACGGGTTCTCAGGTATGTGCATAGAAAGCGGGGAGAGAGGCACAGCGCGAGAAGGGAGATCAGCACAAACCGACGGGGCGGAACCGCCCATTCGCACATTGAACGTGACCAACTCGTGTTCCACCCCCCTTCTCCTCTCTTTTTGAGAGCCCGGGAACTGTGCTACCCATTGACAGGACGGGCTAAGAAAAACAAAAAGTCGTGGTTGACTGATGTGTGGGCGTGTGAGGGAGAGGCGGCAGGGGTCGCGGAGGTAGGAATGGGCAGAGACCTGGGGAAAGCTGGCAAGGGGCGAATGAGAGGGTCGGGATGCGCCGGTCACCCCCAGTCCTGCACCAACCCCGGTCTGGGGTCGAGGGGGGAAGATGCGAGTGACATGGGCGGGAAATTTGGGGCGTTTTCAGCCTTCAGGCAAATGGACGGACATGCGTTGGGTACGGGGTAGGAGTAGTTGTATTCGTTTGAGTAGAGTAAGCATGCTGTGTAGCGTGGTATACAGGAGCAAAAAGAAGTATCACCACTAGCCATGTAGAGAGATGTTTGTGGTTCTTCCGTGGCTTTATTGCATCCGTGTTTGAAGCGCGTCAAGGTTTATCACAACCAGGGTACTCTAGACCGTAAGAAGACTATGCTCAACTATTAAGAATGGTTCAGAAAACGAGCTGCTATTTCACGCCCTTGTTATGCATTAGAAAGGCAATCCCGACCTGAAATCAGAGAGGTCAAGTCCGTACGGATAGATACAACTGTAGACAGGGAGGCAGAGACACGTTTTCCTGCACCCCGGACCGGGTGGTTTTGTCCGGCCCAGAGGCGATGTGACAAGCTGCATAAGAGAACACCTAGACCACTTTCTTGACCGGCTGGTTTGCTGACCTCGTCCCCATTTGCCTATTGAATGGATGCTCGGAAGCTGGGCAAAGACGTGCGTCGACAGTGGAAGCTGGAGGTTCTGGGAGGATCTCACCGAAGGTCCCAAGACAAGATGTGGGCTGTGTTTCTGCAGACATATCCATAATCCAGCCAGGTACTTAGTCTGGATGCTTACCACCAAAGTGTTCGCCACTCGGCAGGCTTTGGACTTGTTTCTCACATTCCAGTGCTTCTGAGTGATTACTATCCGAATTTGTTTGGTTGGATATCTCCGATGTTGCCAGTAAGTGCAATTCCTGAATTTCCGGTCATGTTTCATGGACCTGGCACCAAGAGCCCAACGTTTCTTTTTTCTCGCGCAAGTGGCTTGGGTCATCCGCTCTGCTGGATTTTCGCCGCCCCTTTTGATCACACTTGCGATATCGCAGCATTCAAGGTGATGTTAGCTCGAGGGCCTCATTCTTCATTTGTGTAGCTGTCGAATCGAGCCCACACCCTTTTTGTTGCCGAATTCGTCATAGGTCGTCGGGCCCTTTTGCGAGAGTTGAGTCTCCCGTGATAGGTCTTCAATACCCGAGCTCGATGTGTTGACTAGCCTGTCAGGTAAGAATACCTTGAGAAAGATGATCTGCTCTTTTGCCTCCCCGTCAAAAACATGAGTCTCCTTGCTCGCCTCCCTGTTGCTTCTCGAGTACCGAGAGCCTCGAACGGTCAAAGCGACACGGGATGCAACACCACAAAAGGAGCAGCCAAGCACAATCCCGATGTGACGCCAACAACCTCCCATTTGTTACCACACTTTGCGGGGAAACCAGCCTCGTCCAACCATGCCCCAAGTTTTGGTCCTCCTATTGTGTACGTGCGTTTACCGTTCACGCCTGTTGTCAATTACCACGGGCTGCATAATGCAGCGCTCGCCGCTGCGTATCCAACGAGAATTGTTCCGAGACCGCTCATCGGCTGCCAGCATAGCTGAGAGGGGGGCGAGGCGAGACTTCGAATGCAGGATGCCCGGAATGGCATCGTACGGTAATGCGTACCATCCTTGCCCCCCCCCCCCCTCCTAAGCCTGCTCAGTCGTGGATAGCTAGGTACTTGTCGTTTGCTTGCAAAGCTGGTGGCATTGAGCCGCTAAGTTAGAAATGGGAGGGTCACGCGTGACTCAGAATCTTTTTTTTCGCTGAGAGCGATTTTGAGCTAGAGTAAACTTGGGTGAGGGAGTATTTGTTGCCCAATGGGCTTCGTGACGAATGAACACTCAAGGCTCGGTGAGAGCAACAAAACTAGTTATGTTAGGCGTCTGTCAGTTGCGGCAAAGACATCAGAGAAGTGCCAGGATATACCCCATCTCGGGTTACCCATCTTGGGGACAGCAACCACTGCCATGGGTGTCAGCAAGAGGTAACTTAACTCCGAGTAAGGTACATGGTTCTGGACGGATGGTTTCTAAACTAATGCTCCTTTACTACTGCACAGTAAGTACTCTTTTTTTTGATCAATTTTTGATCAATTTTGTTGAATGATTTCCTTCTGCCCTGCGAGCTTGCCTTGTAAACACTCCAGTTTTACCAGAAATTTAACTCCCTGAAATGCATCAACTCATCGCCTGGAGTTTGGAAGACTGGAACGCCCGCAGGCTGTGACATGTTGCATGACAATCCCAGTTTTTTTTTCGTGTCAGCGAGACCCAAGATGGACTCAGTCCCTTACTCAACTACCCTTCAGGGCCAAGCGGCCACAATTCCCATCACTTGTCAAAATTTCCCGCTTACACAGGGACACTGGGGCCAAAGCGGCGCCAAACTGCATGTGTAAGGTGACAGACAAGCAACCCAACCAGAAATCAGCTGAAGTTCGTTCTCGGTCAGTTACAAGACAGGTCGCCGACGGCCCCAAAGGTCATCATGTCAGCGGAAGTTCGGGCAAACAGGTGGGACAGATCCATTCTCCCGCAGGGTCTGAGAGGGTAGCAACGGCTTTGACCTCCAGAGTCCACGGTATGTGAGGTATGTATGGTAGCAGCAGGGCCATTTCTTGTCAGCTGTGTGCAGCGCTGGGTGGGACAGCGTCTTCTAGGTCAAGGTCGTCTTACATCAGCCACCTGTTGTTAAGTTCGCCCGCCGCTTGTACGCCGTTGTGACCAGTCCAGAACCACCGGCACCCGTCTTTTCATGTTGTATTCAAGGCCGAGGAATTATGGGTATCCCCCGGAAACCAAAGCCGGCATCCCCACAAAGTGCCGCGGCGGTCCCTGGAATGAAGCGGTGGACTCGGCGCAAGAGACTAGCCGATGACCCCCTAAGAATCATCTGGGGGATTCCCCTCACATGGGGTGCCTCGGCTCCGCACCGAGACTCTGGCGTCTTGAAGTTCTGGAGAAGGAAGAAGGGCACCTCCGCACGGCCACGGCCCCCGCCACATGGCTCCTCGTCCCGAGGTACAATCTCGTCCTGGTCTCAGAGGGTTGTTGGGGAAAGCTAAGCTGAACCTCCGAAGCTTAACTTCAAACCAGTCAATCCATTCTCCAAGCTCCGAAGTTTCGTCATTTTTTGGCAGGCAGAAATTATTTCAAAAACCGCTTGAGGCTCTCTCGTTACATTTAGTGATTCTGTCAAATCCGTCCAGATCGACGTTGCTTGTTCCCTTCTTAGTTTCGTTCGGCAACCCCACCACTCGCTATGTCCAAACTCTTGTTTAACGATGTCATGGCACTGGCCCTGCTGCCAACAACTTCGAATCATACGACAACGACAGGTGGCATCGTCAAGCGTTACATGAGTCTCTACCCAGCTTGGGTACCAGGGTCGGAACTTGTTGGCGGCAAAGGCCGCGGTTCCAAGGCAGATCCTCGAGCTGCATATGGAGGGCATGTGTACTGTCAGGCGCCGCTAGCCGCAAGCCGAGCCGTGAAAGAAGAGGAACCTGAAGGATCCGGGACGCAGTCTGGAGGTTTCGGGCTTCATGTGAGATTGGAATATGCTGCCTTGAGTGGAAGATACGACCGTCGCTAACACCTCAGCAAGGCTATTCAAGGCGTTTTCTCGGCTGCCGCCAAGTCAGACAGGCCATTCATATATGAGGTCACTATTCTATCAACTAGCCGGACATTTTGCTCCCGCTTGGTGACTGTGCGCCAACCGAAAGAGACGAGCAAACGCGACCACTACGAAAACAACTTCTTACTCGAGGATGCCGAAGGGCCTTTGGGTGATATTTGTTTCAGTTGCATATGCACCTTCAAACGGCCAGAGGATGCCAGAATCGTCTCTCAAGAGGAGCCCCCGCAGAAACGCTTTGCCGAGATTCTGTCCACCAAGTCGCCACAAGACTGGCCGTTCGCACCAGCGGTCGACGTGGAAGAAATTAAAGCCATGTTTCCGGATGTTGGCCAGACGACATTTCCCATCGTTGACATGCATAAAGTCGACCTGACGGCTTATAATGAAGGGAAGCCAGTTTCGGAAAGGAAGGAGCTTCTCTTGTATCGTCTAAAAGGGCCCCTTCCAGCAGACGATCCCAATTCGCATGTGGCCGTTCATGCGTTCGAGTCCGATCGTAACGGGTTGTTGATGATAGGCAACCACGTTGGTCTCGGTTGGAGTCTAGGCACTGCGGCCAGCTTAACATACAAGTTTGTCGTTCATGTCAATGTAGACCAAGCTGTGATGAAAGATGATGGCTGGTGGATTCAGGAGGCTTCGTTTCCCCGGACTGGCCAGGGTCGAGGGGCATTGATCTGTAAGATATGGAGTCCTGAAGGCATCCACGTCGCTACTGGATATCAAGACGGCATACTGCGAGAGCGGAGAACAGATGGGGATAAGATTAGCCAAAAGCTATGATGAGATGATATAGCGTAGGCTCATGAAGGGCCAAGTTAGAATAGTGTAAGCTTAAATAGATCTGACATAGATGAACAGAAATGAGACTCGGACAGGAGATGCCTAGCTTGCTGTTTCTTTTGTTAATTCCGTAGATTTATTTTTGCTAAGGTAGAGACCATCTCACCTTATCTTGTCATCATCCTTGTCAGAGGTTGCTCAATGGAAGGACCGCACTTAGTCGAAGGGTGTCTTCTAATCTACGTTACAGATCGCTTAGAGGAAAGATCTGACTTGAATAGAATCGCTCTTGCTATCTCCCAATTTAAAAATCATTGTAAGGAAGGATCGCATTAGTTTTAGATCGTTCCTGCCATCTCTTTCTACAGATCGCTCAGAAGAAGGATCGCACTAGTTCGAAGTGTTGTTGCCATCTCCTTTCCATAGATTGCTTAACGGAAGGATCGCACTGGTTTTCAAACGTTCTTACTATGCCTCCTTTGCCAACTGCCGTTTGAGGGTATGATTCCCTAAACTGACCCGTCGTTCTTACCCTCACTACTCGTGACTTCCGTGTTGATGTCTTCTCCTGTCCTCACCTACGTTCCTTCTCTCACAGCCTCTGCCGGGCCCTCTATAAAACCCACGCTACCTTTCCACTTCTTCTCTCATACACCACCAGAATCTTCCAACTTCGGTGCACCACTCTGATTGAGTCTTTCTCAGCACACTGCATGAAAGTCCGTTTCCTTTGGCACTCCACAACAATCAACCCTCCTCTCCCAAGCTCAAGACCGGGATTTTCATTGATGATATCTACAACTCATCATCTTTGACATTTCTAAGCATGTTTATGAGCTGGGATGGTTTGGCATACGTTCTTCACCTAGCATCTCATACCGTTCGCACCTACTTTCAACCCTCTGACACATAGATTGGATTTCATTCCCACCACATGTCGACCGTTCCTCTCTCATTTGAGACCACCATCACTCGCACAGGATATTTGGGTAAGTAAATTATTCACGCTATAAATGGGTCGCAACTGCTGACTCGTATTCGGGAGACAAGACGCAGAAGCCACGATGGACCCGACTTCACACTCTTACGATAGTGCGCCAGTGCGGCGCTCGCAACTGCTCTCTTCAATTTCAGAATTAAGACAAGGAATCCAAGCTGCTGAGGCCGACGTCGATCGCATTGAGAACCGGATCTCATACAAAGAGGACTGGCTCAAAGAGCTCAAATCTGAACGCATTTCCGCTGATAAGTCCAAACCGTCAATTGACAGGGCCATCAAGCAGACACAAGTGCGCATCAAAGAGATCGAAGAGACTCTGATTGCGAAGAAAGATGAGATCGCGCACCTGAAAAGCAAGCTAAAGAAGAAGGAGACAAAGCTTGCAGCGATCCCACAAATCGAGTCATCCAGTGCGCCCAACCCCAAAGACAACGAAGATGCTGCAGCACTGCTTGAAGTCACAGCCACCCCTGTGAATGCCATCTTTACAATCAGTGAAGACGGCGAGACCTACACCAACCCGCCCATGCTTCGGGGTGTCCCGGTTGCACCCATCAGCGAAACCGGTTCATATTGGAGCCCGATGTGGAAGAAGTTCGCAGAGGCAGTCAACGAAGAGAAGGTGGAAAGGGAATATCAAGAATACCTCTTCATCAGACACCAGCGAATGCTCCAAGGACCCCTCCCAGCATCAGAAGATGACCCAGAGCATGTCTTCAAGAGATACCAGCGCAGCTTGCGGCAAGCCAAGGTCACAAAGCAGTGGTTCAACCCGGGACGCACGATCCATCCCAATCAACTCATGGCAAAGGAACACTTGCCTGAGACTGGGATTTGCGACAACTATGTTCTCTACAAGATCTGCAACATCCTTAGCCGCATCAATGCCATGTATGAGCGCGGAGAGCTGGGAATGCCGCCTATGCACTTCCTCATGTGGAGGATGAGTGTCTCCCTAGAGCGCTTTCCGCACGACCCCATGAAGTCATTCTGGCGTGTCATGGTTAACAAGAACCACGGTGCTTACGACAGCATTCTTCGGCAAGCCGAGATCAGAGGTGCACAGCATACCGGTGACTACAACTTCTACTTGGGTCGATGGAAGCAGACATCTTCTGCCAGAGACCAGGCCCATTCGTCCGCATTGTCCGGTAGCAGATCAAGCGCCCCTGCCACAGCAATTGCACAGCCTGGAGTGAGTCCTCATGAGGCTCTTGCCCAGCAGCAACAGCAGCAGCGACAGCAGACTTTGCGCGGGCCTGTTTCGAACTTTGCTCTGAGCCCAACAGAGGCATTGAGATTGCAAATGCAGATGCAGACATCCTCCACACAGGAAGAAGGACATGTCAGTGACCGACGCAAGACGCGCCACCATTCAGAGGCGTTTGATCAACCGACCTCTGATCACGACGGAAGCCACTTGCGCTCTACTAAGAAGCTGCGTCAGTCACCGCTGTTCAAAGACAATCTTCTTGCGATTCGAAGCAGACCATCCGCTGAGAGCATGGTCTCGAACCGTTCCTTGGCCGGACCCAGCATGGAGACTGAGCCTCTTGTGGATCTGGAAACTATGGATCTGGAAGCTATGGATCTGGAAGCTATGGATCTAGAAGCGAAGACCGAACATGAGACTCGCACCCAGGCATCTGCGGTCGGGGATACGGATGCCCCGATGGAGGATGAGCTTCAACAGAATAGCTTCGAGAAACGCATGGCCGATATCGATGATTTGTCAACCAAGGCAACGGCTCCGATTCCCGAGAAGACCACTGCCAAAGCCCCAGTCGACAATCGCGAATGGATTGACATGTTTGTCGGCTCAGAAGAAATCAGAAGACAGATCCAGCCCACAAACATGGAGGCCATCAGAGCTTCAGTCGGAGAGAGTCCTTTCCCGAAGGATACTGGAAGAAGAGTTTCTCATGGATTTGTCTTCCCCTACTACAGCAGCGAGGAAGCTCAGAAACTGGACGAGCTGGGATTCCCTTTCTAGACACCACTGCTTCCGGCATCTATCTCTATGGGAAGAGGCATGTTTATGGGAGGAAATGACTGGCATGAGAGTTGGATGGATGGATGGATGGTAACCGACTAGGATAGGTATTCAGGTCGGGGGAGTGACTTTTTTCCTTATGCTTTTTTCTTTGCTTTTTTCTTCTTCTTTGCTTTGGAGAAACCCTCTGCCGCGGTCCTGGGCTATCGGGGTACCGAGAATGGATGGCGGAATTGGACTGTGAACGACCCAGAAAGGCTCTCAGAGAGAGGGGGATGGGTTTTCTGGAGAGCGACCTCGTCACAGTCATGGGCCACCTGGGTAATGAGAGTGGCTGACGACAAGCTTCAGTTTAGCATGATACCTTCGAAATAGAGTAACGTCAAAAACATCGTGCCAGTCACATTCTTTGTGACCTGCATCCATCTGACAGCGGCGCGGATGAAAGGCATGAGAACTATCACGGCTCTGTAATGCTCCAGCTCTCATTTGGTAATCTCGCCATCACGTGATACCATGTCGCTTACGATTCCGGTTATGGCAAGTACCTTGGCCAGTGCTCGCTCTGCGGTCTCTCTGACTGGTGGTTCCCCGTAGCTTACCCGACAGCCGCAACATCAAACCATCAAATCAGGCCATCGACAAATCCCTCTCTCTTCACCCAAACCCGACGTCACAACATCGAACCTCTCCTCTCTACCACCCCAATTGCCGTCGCCATGTTTTTGCAGCGCTCCGCCATCATGGCTGCCCGCCGGGCGGCCGTCGCTCCCCTCGCCAGACGCACCTTCGCGACCTCCATGATCCGCCGTACGAACCCCAATTGAAGGCCCCCCCAAATCCCGAGAAGAAAAAAATAAGCCTTGCAGCGAAGCCATTCCGAAAGTTCCCTTATCGCTGACTCTACGGCCATCCGCGGCCACAAACAGGCGACGCCAACTCCTCTACTCCCGCCAAGCCCTACAAGACCATCACCGGTAAGGTCTATCGAGCCAATTGATTCGAAATTATTGTCGTTTTCGTTCAGGCGCGGTTCCCCGGAATGCCCAAAGCCCGACCGCATGCATCCCTTCGGACCGCGTCGTACGATCGAAGCGACGAACCAACTTCGAACGACTTGGAAGATGAGAACACGAGGCTAATCATTTTCATTGCAACAATACAGAGATCAAGGGCGAGGATGACCTTCACGGACCTGGTGCCAAGCCCGGCAGCATCCCCACCGATCTCGAGCAGTCCACCGGTCTCGAGCGTCTCGAGATTCTCGGAAAGATGGAGGGCGTCGACATCTTCGACATGCGCCCCCTCGATGCCTCCCGCAAGGGTACGCGATGACCCCTCCTTGAATTTCAAGCGCGAGTCCAGAACCTAACCCAATTACTTAGGCACCGTCGAGAACCCCATCCCCGTCCGTTCCGCCGGTGAGGAGCAGTACCTCGGCTGCACCGGTGTTCCCGTCGACTCCCACGTCACCATCTGGCTGACCGTACGTGCCTATGGACCCAATTGAGCTACTAAAAGAGCTCCGTAACCTGACCAAACATGCATAGATCTCCCGCGACCGCCCCATCGAGCGCTGCCCCGAGTGCGGCTCCGTCTACAAGATGGAGTACGTCGGTCCTACTGATGACCACCACCACGGTCACGACCACCACCACGGCTACGAGGAGCCCAAGACCTTCGCCGACTTCGTCAAGCCCGAGTACCGATACCAATAGATGCTTTCGCAGATGGCGAGCACGTAGCAAGGAGACTGGAGGCGAGACGGCATCGGGGTTGCTCTGGAGTGAGCACGGCAGATGTGTAGATTACCTTAAGTTGTGGCTGTATAGAACCTTTTTCTCCCGACTCCTGTCTTATGACTCCCGCGGATTTTGTGTGACGCCTGCCAGGTTGTAGTCCTGTCTGAACCGCGGCCAGGACGTCACAAAGTGCCACAGCTCTCGTGGCCTGACATGCTCCCGTGCGGATCCGTGTCCTGCTCTCCCCGCGTGTCTACGTTGTATTTGATAGTAATGCCTTTCGCCCTGATCGTAGCACGCTTCATTCTGGATCGAAGCTAAGCTTAATCTTCTTTCCCTTCTTCTTGGCAGGCTTCTTCTTGGCGCCCTCGTCGTCGTCGCCGTTCTTCTCGTCATTCGTCACGATCGTTTTGACGACAGCATCCTCTTCAGCATCACCGCCAACAACCTTGCCAGCCTTCCTCTTCTTGCTCGCCCCGATCCCAGCAATCTTCTCCGTCTCCCTCTTCTCCTCCTTGGTATCCTTCCCTTCCCCTTCCCCCTCCTCTACCCCATCCTTCTTCATAGCATCCGCCTCCACGCCACCGTCCTTGTCCACCCGTACGTCGACAACATTGCCCTCGTCGTCCACGACCAGCGGCGCATCCTCTGCCTCTTCGCTGTCGGAGCGCTTCTTGCCCGCTCGTCGTCTTTTCGAGAGGATCTCGTCTGGGCCTCCGTTCCCTGCTGCCTGTGCTTGGAGAGCGCGCAGGAATGGCGGGATGTTTGTGTCGTAGGATAGGTTTTTGCCGGTGATTTTGTCCGACATTGTGGCGGCGGGCGCGAAGCCAGTGAGGTGCCTTTCCTTAGGTTTAGTCCAAAGCTCGTGGTCATTGACGGCGCCGGTTGAAGAGTAAATAAGTCGCTGTTTTCTCGGCGGGGCACGCAGCCGTCGCTGGAACGTCGCTGGTGGAGGGTGTACGATGATGATGGTGAAGTAGCTATTGCCAAATGCCAGCCCTCGCGGTCGTTCGCACCTCAGTTCTCGAGGGGTGGAGACTGGTGCACCTTCTTCAGTGGTCAATCAGCATCTTTAGCGGATAGCGCAGCCGATTAGCGACCTTTCCGACGTCGTAGCGCATCCGAACCTCGCTAAGCTACAGTGGGCACACGCTACAACGCTAGGCAGCAGGTCGGACCCATCCAGGTTGCCGCGGAAAGACAAACTTGACTACACGACTTCTCCCCTTCTCAAGTATCACTTCACTAAAACCGGCACATCCACATCACGTAGACGATCAAGAAGCGTAATATTCTAAGATGAAAGATCTGTATCGTTGAAACTTTTGAAGAACGAGGTCACTAACCCTAATGACTTTGGTATCTAATGCAGCGAAAAGAACCTCCTAAAATCAAGCGGTTTCATGTCTGTACCAGCCAACTCATGGTTGCCGCTCTCCAACGCCGGGCCGTGTAACGCCAAAGCCAATGCCGTAGAGAACCTGCCAAAGGGAACCATTCCCTTGATACACATAGAAAGACGGTGATGAAGCATCCGTTACGTCATTGAGATCTCAGACGATCTGTTGGATAAAGGTAGGACCCATGGTCACGTCGGTCGAAAGAAAGTTCGCAACCGGGAGGGACGCGACGGGCACGGCAGTCAAAGTGCCAGTGTCCTCGGCACGGCTGAGCGCCAACACACCCTCTCCAGTACCGTCCGTGGTGTCAAACACATTGGTCGAGAAGAGCGTCTTCTCATCCTTGGAGAAGCTGAACATGCGGGGGCTGATGCCGCCGGAGGAGATTTGATCGACGAACTCGAGAGTGATGCCGCCGGCCTTGGCCTTGCACTTGGAACCGCCGGCAGCGGCCTGCTGAGTGATTTTGAAGTGGGAGATAGAGTCGGTTGCGTTACCGCTGTTGCGGTTGGAGACGTAGGCGTGCTTGCCATCAGTCGAGATGATGATCTCGCCAGCGGCAGCGGAAGTGGCGTTGGCAGGAGGGAAAGCAGCGCCATAGGTGCTCAGCTCCGAGGTATGAGTAAGTGAGAGGGACGAGCCGTTGGTGGTAGAGACGGAGAAGACCTCGAGAGTGTTGCTCAGCTCACAGGCGACAACAAAGGCAGTAGGCGTGCCTCCGTTCTGAGGGTACCAGGCGCCGTGGCGCGGGCCACAACCAGCTCTAGAGACGCTGTTGCGAGACACAACCTCGAACTTGTCATCCAGGGAGTCGATGATGGAGATGGAGTCAGTGCCGAGGTCGCAGATGGCGAAGTAGCGACCAGAGGGATCGAGAATGGCCTGGTGAGCGAAAGACTTGGTCTGACGCTCCTTGTTGGGACCAAGCTCACCACCAAGAGTGATGTTCTTCATATACTTCAGAGTGCTGGTGTCAGAGATATCCCAGACGTCGACATTACCACCGGTGCTAAACAATGTTAGTCTATAAAGGCTTTCAAAGCGACGCGAAAACAAAAAGAGAGAATGAATTAAATTAAGAAAAGGTAGGTGATACGTACTAGGCAGCGCCAACGAGGCGAGTCTTGTCCTTGTTGAACGCGATGGAGACAACACCCCCAGAGCCCGTAGCCTCAGCGGCGATCTTGAGATCGTTGTTGGTGGTATCAAGCTGGAAAGAATCAATAAAAATTCCCAATAAGCAGGGGTGGATTCAAAGGCTGCTGAAAATGAGAAAGAGGGGTGACTTACGGTGAACAGACGGAGGTTGAAGGCATTCTCGTTGACAGCATAGAGAAGGTTGGGCTCCTTGAAGGCCATCCAGCTAGGACCGGTGCTCTCGGTGATGTTGCTGTTCACGATCTTGAACGACTTGCCGTCGTAATCGGCAACAGAGATGGTGTTGGTAGAACCAATGATGACCTTGGCGGAAGCGGTGGGAGCGTCCTGGCGGCCGATGACCGCAGCAGAAGCAGCCGCAGCAGTAAAGATGACCGAGGTGAAGCGCATCGTGGTGATTTGTGTGAAGTCGAAAATCAAGAATGAGTGTATCGAGTGATCGATATTGAGCAGTCAGAAAAAAGAAGTGAAGAGAGTGAAGTGTGCGATGGAAGAAGCAGAAAAAGAGTAGAGACTGGTGAGTGGTGAGTGAAGGGGAGAAAAGTGAGTGGTTGTGAGGGTTGTGGGAAATGTGTGAGGCAAAAGTGGTGATTTAGAAGTAGGTGGAAGGAAGGAGCAGCCAGTCGAGGTAAGGCGGGCAGGTACAAATTTTCCCACGGATTTTCGCAGCAGAGCAAGGGACAGGGTCGATTCACTTCGGTTCAAAACGGAGCTGAAAGAATTAGTGGTTTGCTGGCGCTGAAGTGAATACACAAGTCTGATATTTCATCCGAATAATAAGAGGGAGTCCTGGGACGGTGGAGGCAGGAAGCTGCAACCTTATAAGATGGTTGAACAGGCAAGGGAAGTCCGGAAAGGCTGTGTGTGTGCGCATGGCCATGCAGACATGTTCACATCAGAACATGCATAATAAGGTAGTCTTTGACTCTAATTCCCATGCATCTGACTCTACCTTAGCCGGCCAGATCTGCCACCCTGACAGACCAAATCCCCCAGCCATGGCTGAGTTGAATGAATGGAAGGGATAGGGTGAGATGGGATGACAAGCCCACCTCAGTCTGCTCAGCCTGGAGCCAAAAAGCCCGACATCGAACCGCCTCTGCGGCCACCAAACAGTAACACACAAAGAGCCCCCCTTTCTCTGTATACATGGATGTCTGCGTCTGTTTGTGTCACCGGGTTCATTGGTCTCAGACCCCACACCATCGAATCCTTTTTGTAAAGAGTCTTGTTCAAGAGGGCAAAGATACAAAGTGCCAAAGGCAAGGGAGGATCAGGGTCAGGGTCACGGCTTACAACGGGCAAACGATTGGTGGGGGTTGCAAGATGGCAAGCTGACCAGCTGTTGGTTGGGTCTGTTGCATGGCTTCCTCGCCAGACCTAAACAGCCCCCAAAGAGCCGCAGGACCCCCCGGCCCTAATCATTCTTCCCTATTCTTGATACTCTTGGAGTTAATTTGCAGTCAGCATTCGACTGGATTTCCAACTCCCAGTCGCCAAATTTGAAGGTAACACGAGATGCTGCATGTTTATCGACGTCTCCTCAAACCACATGGATGCAGGTAAGCGTGGGAATCCAGCGTCAGTCAAGTCCAGTCAGGCTGGCTTCGAGTCCGAGTTGTCGTCTGACAGTCAACGGGGAGTGGATCCTACCATCCCGCCCAGCCATCAGCCGCTCCTTCGGACGGGCAGCCACGGCAGGGCAAAGAGTCTCATGGTAGACTCCCTGCGTGAACAAGTGGTTTCTCGTCTATGTTCAAGGAGCCTCATGTTCATCAAGTTGGAGCATGTTCGGCTGTTCAGTGTGAGCCGACGGCCCAACTCTGGGTCGCCCGCTCTACCGTGTGCTACTCACTACCCGATGAAACAGGGGCCAAATGGCCACGGAATAATATCAGAATCGCCCCCGAGTAAGGTACCAACGGCAACGTTCTTTAGGCGCTGCGGTTGGTCGCCTGGTTGGAGGGGCTGAGTGAGGGCGGTGTTTCGAAACATGTTCACCCGTCCTTGGCCGCAAAGGATTGGACGAGAAACAATCCGGACATTTCCCATACTTTCGAGCGGGAGGGTCACTGTGTTCGACCCCCTTTTTATTTCAGCTTCACTGAATCAAAGTTTTGCCCTACCTTGTCATTCTGTTTATGAGAAACTTGAGGCGGGAGTAAGTATTCTCGTCTCTCGAGCGAGCCGAAGCATTTCATCAGCCGGCAATAGCAAGGAAAGAAGGAAAGAAGCACGGAAGATCTTCATCAGCATGCCGGCCGGTGGTTCGCCGTTACGATACGTACCGAAGTGGAGTCATCTACGCTGGAGCGGTTCCCCGATACGTACCCTTTCAGACGCCGTTGACGTGCGTCTATTCTCGGCGTGGCTTGCGCTTCGAGAACTAACCAAAAGCCGCGGTGACGAGAACTGCTGCTGGAGACGACATGCGCATCTACATCTAATCAGCCAACCAACGTGAGATGGGATGGTAAAACAGCTCGAGATGCATGGGGACAGCCAAGCTCAGCACTACCACTGCAGGGGAGCGCGGGGTGAGTGCTGATCCAGTCATCATCGCATATTTTGTGCCAAAGCTTGCCGAAGCTTGCTTCTCCTTCAATAGTTGCTTGCTGTACTGACATTGGCTGAGAACATCCATTGTCTTTGTGCACTGTTGGTTGATGCTGGTCAGAGCTTGCTTGGCTGGCGCCATCACTGTATCATCTGTGCTCCGACTGGGTATACTAATTCTCGGGAGCGGCTTGGAGATGTGCAACTTGAAGGGAAATCCACAGCCTGTGTCGACGCTCAGCCAGTCAACGGCGAAATCATTTCCATGCAAGGCGGGAAATCTGCTTCTTCGATACCAAGTTACCTCGGTGTCCTTGACTTCTGAGTATTGTGGGTAAGCTGTCCATGTATATGGTTAACCACATAGAAAAACCAGTATTTGAACTTGGTTCCGTTCCGAACCATCACTTCTGTGAATAACGTTGTCCCTAACAATCCCGATTGGTCTGAGAGTACCGAACCAAGATTTGAGAGTGTTGTAAGTCACAAATCATAGAATGGCCGCGATCACTGCAGCAAACTTAGGCTTAACAGTTCCACGGAGAAGAATGAAAGTGATTCAAGTATTCAATCTCAGTTCATATTCTATCGAGATATTACAGAAGCCCAGCAGTCACGGGTATCTTGACTCCAAGGTCCATCAGGTATTCAAAGTAAAAGGATAAACGCCCGGGTCCCCCGCTGTACCAAATTA